TTCCCTGGACCAAAGGAGTCAAAATTAGCACGGATTAGGCAGGAACCAGCCATGGTTCATGTTAATTTTAATTTTAAAATAAAACTCCAGGTTGCTGCGTTTTCCTGTGCTGCTCAGAGTGAGGAAATCCCACTGACATAACGCCGGGATGACTCCAGTGCTGGGGACCAGGATGGGGGAGACTCAGGGCAAAGCGAGAGGTGAACAATAACTCACTGCAGTGATGGAGAGAAATTTAGATTAAATATCCCTCAACACACTGAGCACCTGTTGGTTGCATCAGCACCTGCATTACTTCTGTTAAAGACGTCCATCATTACTCCATCAGCGCTCCTGATTCATAGCCAGTTCAGGTATCAGCCAAAGCTGCTGAACAGTGAATACCTTTAATAATTTGCTGCTTTTAATGCATTCAGTCAGGCCAATTACATAAAATTACAGGTCTGCCCTTTTCATTTTACAGATTCTTTTTGTCCTAAGGATGTATAAATATTCAATGAGCCCACTCAGCAAATGCTGTCAACAGCACAAAACTCACAGAGCAAATATTTTTATATTGCTCTAACTTTGAAGATCCTTTTGAAGATGATTTCTGAAAAATTCCTGCTGTTGCTGGATGGGGACTGGCTTCTCCTGCATGCAAATGGTACTGAGTGTCACGTAACAAATTGCTAAGTGAATTATGAAATGGCACTTGCACTCCTTGACCATGCCAATGAGTGTAATTTAAATAAATCCATTCATGAAGGCCTAATTAGCAGGGACTGTGCAATTTTCAGCCATGTATGGGAAGTCTCTGCTAATCACAGATTGAATCTGGCAGAGTGCTAAGTGCTGCTGAAGTGCTGGAGAGTTAAAATCACTCAGACCTTTCAGGGATCAAGGATTGGATCTGAAAAATGCTGAATTAACGTTGTTGCCCTCCTGCAGGGACTGGTGCTAGTACTTGAGAGGGGAGCAGGTCCTTGTGTGGTGCATGACCCTTAGGAAACTGCTTCTGGTCTTTCTTTTGCCTGTGTTTTTCCAGTTGTCAAAGGGAGATAATGATGATGATTTCTTTAGAGACCACTTTGAGGTCAATTGAGGAGGAAAGATTAAGTAAAGCTGAGTACAAGTGGAGTAACTTCTGTTTTTTCAGGCTATCCTAACTTGGAGAATCAGCTGACATTATAAATTAGGGGGAGACATTCAGGTTGGGCATTTGTTTATTACAAGCACCAAAAAAAGATGTTATTTGTTTACAGCAACCTACAGAAGCCCCTATCGCTGACTGTCCCCTGCTGTGCCATGTGCCGTTCGAATGGCAGAAGTCACAGCATTGCTGTGAGACAGGTACGTCAATCAAACGAATTCTTGCCTCAGTATCTGCAAGATAGAAATTCAGCATCTAATCACATCTTCTAGGGAAATAACTCTGGTCTCACATCCACTGCCTTTGTGCCTGTAGCCAGATCTGTGCATCCCTTCATGATGGCCCTGATAACATCTTCCTAGCAGGGAGCTATCATGGGAAAGCAAAAAGCAGCTTTTTTTCAAAACGTAGACGCATTGAAAATGGAAGTGGAACTAAACCACAAAGCAAAACCACCCGATCATTAGATGTCTACTGAAGCTATGGGGACGCCGAGGAGCGGTGCACAACAGCATCCTTGTTCTGGTGGCTTTGAAATGAAACAAAGCCTGCAGCCCTGGGCCGGGGACACTGGCAGTGTCGGGTTTCACCTGCCCTTTGTGACGGTGGGAGAAAAGCAGCTCAACCTGGACAAAACCTAATCAAAGTGGTGACCATGCTGGGCAGCAGCACAGGCTCCCTGTTCAGTTCAGCGAGGCTCCATTCAATAAGGTGGTTATGTCCCACCAAAACCTTGCTGAGATACCAGACAAGCTCAGTGCCTACAAGCCCATGGGCTGTGATCCAGCTTTTGTCAACCTCTGCAGCTGTGGAGACCCCACAGATCTCATTTCAGGGTTTTTCTTGTCCTGGTTTACCTTGCAGTCATGATGGTAAGAACGAGACCTGTACCTTTGCCAGCGTTTTCCAGCTAGTGTACAAGTTGTCCTTACCATTCGATCAGGATCCCATCACTATGTTTGTTATCTTCTGCTTGTTCATTAGCTTGAGATAATTAAAACAACAGAACTAACAAATTACCTCATTCTGTTTACCGGTGGCTTCAAACCTATGGAACAAAGTTAGGTCCATGGATCATACTGTATAAAAGGTGACCTAAAAAAAAAACCACCCAGGCTGTCAGTTCTCTGGCATGCCATTTGTCATCAGCACAGTGTAATTATCATGGACTTTAGTGACACAATAAATATGAGAGCACAGGTGGTATCCATTTTCAGCTGTTTAATTGAAGAAATGAAAGATCCTGTAATACAGAGTCAACACAGAGAATTTGTCAGGCTGTACTAAAAACTTCAATAGCCATGACCTTGAGGTCATAAAATTACTCATCAAGAGTAAAATTTTTATGATACAGAAGTGAAGAGTATTGATTTTATAAAAAATAATTTTATATGCAATATAAATGGACAAAATGGCTCACTCCAGTCTTCTTCAGGACCTGAAAATCCAGAAGTGCTGTGTGCAAATCGATACAAATACTATCTTAAACCATAAATTTCAATTCATTTATAAAAAACAGGCTGCAATTCTTTTTCCTTAGAGCAACCACAAAAAAAAAAAAAAAAAAGAATTCGGGAACTGTTCCTCCAAAGCTTTCTGAAATTTGCTTTGGCTTGCTGGTGTGTTGTGCATTTATAATTGTATCAGAATAAGTCTGACTTTAGACTCCTGGGCTGGTGTTTCCCTGGCTTTAAGTCTAGGGACTTGAGACCCATTAGCGATCCTGCTGAATGCATTTGGTTAGGAAAAAGTCTTCCGGGGCCTGCTGTGGAGTAACACCACAAGAAAATACAGAAATGTTGTTAAACAACAAGCAAAAGATGCATTCAGGTGGTTCAAACTAACAGCTCACCTGGGAAACCTTGTGTGTGTCGGAATGAAGCTGCTGCCCCAGAGGGAGCAACGGGGCAGTAATGGCGGGGGGCGTGGGTAAAGCCCCACGGATCAGAGGACTCGCAAAAGAAAAGGAACCCCAAACTCTGAACCCTCAGCTCCGGACCTGACGCAGAGCTCGCCGACTGAAGCCGAAGCTGACAGTGCTGTGTTCTGGGCTGGGCGCCTTTCCTCAGGTATGTGAAAGCCTCAGGACTCCGAATTTCTGGCGGGCTTTTTTTTTTGGCGGCCATTCCGTGAGCCCCAGGGCCGTGGCTGGAGCCCTGGCCACCCTCACGTCGCTCCCCCTCACGCCCGGGCTGGCCCTTGAAGGAAGGTGACACGCAATGAGAGGGCGCGAAGCCCTTTTCCCGCCCACAGCGCTCGCCGCCATTTTATCTCCCTGTCCTGGGCACCTCAGGATGAGCCAATGCAAGAAAAATCTCTTCGCGGTGTAGACCTCAGCCTAACTTGGGGAGCGTGAGCTCATCTGCTGCGAGACGGCAGTTTGGGATGAGGTGGTGGTGCCAAAGGCTTCGTAGTTTTATTTATTGTGATTTCCATCTTGTCCTTTCTCGCAGAGGAAGGTCTGAGCCTGGGCGGTAGTGAGAAAAGTCCTGGGGAGCTCAGCCCCTGCCTCTGAGGGGGTAAGTGAGGGGTACAATCGCATGATGCAGCTTCCCCTGTCTGGGCCTGCAGCATTTTAAATCCTAAATTGCCTCTCTTATCTTCCTTTGATACATATGTTCCCAGTGCTGTTTTCTTTAACCTGATTCAACTGTGGTGTGAGGTATGTAATTTAACAATATTTAACTTCTTTTGAGGCAAGAATATTAACATGCCTTGGAGGGATAGTTGAGGTGACTTTCCTGCATAAGTGAATGTGAATTCTTCCATATAATGGGATGGGAATAGATTTGAGGGTCCCATTGTTCAGTAGTTTTTGTAAGGCAAATTTGGGACATCCTTCAGTGAGACTTTAGTCTGAAATGCTCTTTTAGAGAAATCACTTTGTTCTCAGATAACTGCTTACTTTTTTTTTTTTTTTTAAAGTGTAGACTGTCTATTTCTTTTCTTGTGTTCAACAGATCATTATACTAATGCCCAACGAAATGGTTAACAATTCTCACAGAAGGTGCCAGGTATAAAGACTGCAAAAGCCATTCAGGACTTCTGTTATAAAGTCTGAACAGGCATCCTCTGAAAAATGTCAGCAGTTCTCTCATTAAAAGTTATTAAGATTTGGACAACTTGATGGTTCCTTTTACAAAAAAAATAGAATCTGACAACTATTTGCTAAATATCAATAATGTGTCTGAGGGTACCCATGAAATAATAAGAGGCATTCAGATGGGCTAACAAAGCATCCATGGCTTGACTTTGGCATCAATAGAGGGGACCTGAGTGCACAGTAGCTCACAGGAATGGGAAGTAATGCTATGTTTGCAGCCTGAAAATAACTAATTTTTTAAAGTTTTATTTTAATAAATTCAAAACTTTTCTACTTGGAGGAAGGAATGAACTCGCATTTTAAAGTAGTTTAATATTAAGTCCAAACCCTCAATTAAGGTGGTTTGCAACCCAACACTTTTCTTTCCTCCCATGCAAATGGCCTTTTATATATGAATGGCCTCATTAAATTCAGTTGGACTTCCCAGACAGGAGAAGGAGGGTAAATATTTTTCAGAGGCTGGTGTTAATGGAGTCATTTAATGCCAAATAAATAAAATAAATACATAAAAATTACAGACCTTTATTTGAGAAGCATAGGTAGCGTAGTTATAGTAAAATTCATAACTTACATCGCCAAATGCACACAATAAAGAATTGTCTACTTCAGATGGCTTGAAATCCTTTTTATTGAAAACAGATGCTATTTAGGTGAAAACATTTGTGTTAAAAAATAACTTGTTATTCTCACTATGAATAGTTTTAAGTGATTTGTTTAGATTTTTAAAAAAAATCTAAATTAGTTTTCTCAAGTTACAGATAAAGAATGGCTTATTCTAGTTCAACACGGGACTTTGTTGCACTTTCAGATCTGCATCCAAATCTTGCTCGTCCTGTAAGTCTCATAGACATAGTACTTTTGTTCTCAAATGAAATTGTATATGACTGTATTATATTACTTCAAAATTATGTAATTGACGTGTATTTAGATACTAATAGCATTAGTATAATTGTTAGATATAAAGTACCTTACCTTCTTTGTGTATAAACCAGGAAAATGAAAATTGATGCTGTTGTTGTCCATACTATGTGGATACCACAACTATAGATATTGACTGGACAATTCAACATCTGAAAGTATCAGAGGCCTCTTTGTAATGTTTTAAATGGATGCTGAATTAGTAAAGACATGTACAGAGTCAGCATTATGTAGTCACAATACATCTGTAACCTACAATAGTCTTTCACTGAAAGCTATGAACATAAGGCCCAATCCTGCAGTCTTTATTTGTGTGTTCAATCCCTCTGAGCTAGATAACGTAGTCCTGAATTATTCAAACAGAACTCTTTCTGAATGGTATGGTGTTTTACCTGGATAAAAATCTCACAATTACATGTCAGATAGGATGGTTTCTATTTCTTTAGAACAAAAAGCAGGTTTTGTGGTTGTCAGTTTATAAGGAGCTAAGAATTTTGCTTGTTGGGAGTACAGGAGAGTAGGATGAACCAAAAAGTAAATTTAACAGCAAAGCTTTGTAGTTGGCAGATTCATATGATGTTTGCATATGATTTTTTTTCTTTTTTTTTTTTATATTATCCTGATATGAGTGAGGACTATCATCACTGGAGTATGAGCTGAAAAGGGCAGTGTGCTGTCAAACTCAGTATTTTTTACCTTTAGGTTTTAGATGGTTGAATAAAAACCAGGAAGTCTGGGGAGCACAGTTTTTCATTCTTTGCTCTCCAAGGTGATGTTTTAGTACGGGAGGGAGAAGGCTACGTTATTCTCTGTTGTAGTACTTCCCACCCTTTGCTGTGTTGCCCACCAGCGATAACGTGTCTTCTGAGCGTTGGAGCCTGGAGAGCAAACCAGCGAGGCAGCATTTCCCCATGGCTGCGCTGCGGGCGGCGGTGCGGGGTTACAACCCCATCTCCCCGCGCAGCCTCAAATAGCCGCGCTGTCTGCAGGGCTGTGTGCCCCGTGGAAGTCCTGATGCTTGTGAAGAGAACAAAAACAGGGAGCTCTGCTGTTACCACAGCTTTTCATTTGGGAGTGAGGGGCACAATTTAGCCTTTTCTCATTTATTTTAAACAAATGAAAGAGGAATCACAGAAAAGGAGTAAACTAGGAGAAGGAGTTGTATATGCCCTCACAGCAGCGTTGTATATTCTTTCCAACTTTTTATAAACTCCTGGTCTCCATCAAAACTAATTTAATCTGTCATTCATGGTTACTCTCAAATAGAGTGATCTGCTAGCTCAGTTAAAAATCTTTTATTTTATAAATAAGATTAATCTTGAGTATTACAATTAGCAGCATACGGTAAAGAAAGTATATTTATAAAAAAGTAATTCACTAGTATCTCATGATGCAATGATCAGTATGTGTTTAGGATGTTAGAACAGCAGAGCAACATCATTCAAAGTATCTCAAAGTGTCCTATTTTTTTACTTTGCAGTTTATTTTTTTCAAGTGAAATAGATCAAAGTCTAAGAAACTTGCAGTGTGTCGATGCTGTAGTCTCATGATTTGGTTGAGCAACCTTAAGCAATGCTCTGCCAAAAAAGGCTGTATGGCCCGCTTCCTCATTGCAGGCATGTTCAGCTCCTTCTCTTTTGGTGAAATTAGTGCTTGTGCAGTTGCACAATAAACTGATCAAGGAAATGGAAGTTTTTCTACCCTCTTTCTCACCCCCTAAATAGTTTCCAGCCAGATGACTTCCTTCTGCCAGCTTGCTGTGAACGTTCAGTGCTAACACGAGAGAGGTGAATATATTAGTAGCAGGAGAGGGAAGGTCTTTTTTGGAAACTGCAGATTTGCAACAGCTTAATTCATGTGACGAGTCATCCTAAATGTTAGTTCTTCTGACTGGTGGTGAGATACAGAGTATGTTGCACTCTGCTTTAATGGAAATATTTGGTTTTTAAGAAGCAAAGCCAAAAATAGGAAAATAAAATCCTAATCTACATGTTGCAGACAGATAGAAAATATTCTTTTAGAAAGATTGGAAGAACTAGGATATTACACTGTTGTACACATACATCCTCTTAATGAGTTCATGGCCATCATTGTAGGATAAGACAGTTACCTTGCTCCATCTAGTGATTCCAAGTAAACTGGGAACATGAGATCTAACTTTTGAGCACACGTCAATATTGTTACAGTGAAGTCAGTCAGGTTGCACTCCTTTGAATAGGTGCAAAATTCAGCCTGTGGGGATTCTGAAGCTGTTACACTGCCCCTTGCTAGCTGACTGCCGGCGCTCCCCTGCTTGGATGGGAAAGTCGGGCAGCACTGCAAGTGGGAGAGATGTGGGATGCTTCACGTCTTGAAGGACACTTGCAGTATTGCAATGTCAGCTGCTTCTTCCAGTCCGTGTTACCATATCAACTTTCACTGCTTACCTCTTAAATCCCAGACTAGCACTGCAATACTCTCACACTGAGGAGGACCTTTTATTAAAAAAAAACCCACCACACAGTTATATATATTATTAATATATATATTTCATATATATATACACATATATATATATCTTCTTGTGTGTGCTTGCTCCTAGTAGTTTTGTTTGACAATTGAGACTAGGGTGCCTTTGCATAATAAATACAGGTTTAGCAAAGTAGAACTTGGATGATTCAAGACAAACTCAATCTTATTCATTGCCTAAGCTCCCTCTGTAGTCTGTTGAGAGACAGACAGAAAGAAACAGGCACCTGTAGAAATTTATGTTGCTTAGATGAAGACAGGATAAATGGTCCTCCCTGTGCATGTACACGTGTGTGTATCGGTGTTGACAGCAGGGGAAACCTTGGATGCTTAACTGTAAAATAAATCCTGTCCAGACTTTTCACGGTGCATTTAAGGAGATCTGAGACCTGTGCAGAGAGCATGAAGCAACAATATTGCTGCCTACCTGAGGAAAGATTGCTGTAGAGCAGCCAAAATTATGAATGTGTTGGGTGAACTTTTGTCCTCCCATTGTCTTTACAAACAGAAACAGATGTATTCCTTTTAATACTTTTATTAGTCGCTCTTTTTCTTAAAGTAAAATTATATGTTTATGTTTTAGTCTTTAGTTTATATGTCACTGTGGAATAAATAGATTAAAATGATTACCAGTCAGAAATATGTTTATTATCATCAACAGAGTACAAGTCCATGAAATCTAATTCATCATATACATCTGTGTTTAATACTTGTATTCTATAATCTCTTTATTTTTTAGAATGTAATCGGTGTGGTTATTGGGAAAACAGATGTCAGAGGCTTTCCAGACAGAAAAAGTAAAGTCTCTTTTCACTGTTTTTACTTCATTTTCTTATATGGTATAATTTGGCATGTATGTCTGAAATCAGTATTTAAATGTTAAACAGACCTTGTAGTGTAAAATGTATAGAATAAAAATGTGCAAAAAAATTGTGTGTGTTTGAGAACCAAGATGAAAGAGGATTATTAGTTTGGCTAAACCTTATAAATTAGAAATTATTTGGAAAAAATCTGTCATGGAAGTAAATGTTTCTGGGCCTGAAGAAGATAGTACTGATATGAACCCACTATTATATAAGTACTGCTGGAATTTATCTGGTCCCTTCATATTCATTCTCTCTCAAGACAGAAATGTTAAGATCTTTTGAGGAGTGAAACAATGAGAGTAATACATTGTTAATACAGCATTAGCTGGACACTGAAATAACGTTTCCAGAGCTTAGGGTTGATACAGATTTAGGAAGCATCTCCAGTCACAGAGAAACATCCCAGCTCTGTGTGAAGTCCTCAGCTATTCTGCTGGCGTTGTCATACTGAGCTGCTCTAGTGGTGGATTTTTAGAAGGAAATAATCATTTCCACTAGAAACCTTTCTACAGAGTCTGAAAATGTCATGTTTATATATATATGCCTCCATGGAAGTACAGTCAGATTATGCTTACTCTATGCAGATCACTCTACAGTTTTCATTGACAATTTAAGAATAACGTATTGCATAATGCTGTATGATCCATGGAAAGCTTTTTTAATCATCTCTGTGAGAAAAGGGAATGCAGTATTTCAGAGACTGATACCCTCTTGACCATGAACTTTCCATAGAGCTGGGAACACTTTGCTTTATTCAGTTAAAGCCCTTGGTACTACCTGGACAGTGATACTGCCTGTGATCTGCAGCCTTGCACGTCATCGCGGTGGTCTTGCACATGGGCACAGCCACCTAAAGACAGCTGACCTGTTACAAAATCTGGGATAGTATGTACACTCCTTCATAGCATTGCTTCCTGCATTAGTCCTGTTTATGTCTTTGTCCGTGCCTTGCGTGTAGCATCGTACGGTTCTTTTGTTTCTCTTGCACCAGATCTGGAAGTTTATAAGGCGCTGTCTAAAGCTGAGCGATACGTGTACATGGATGGGATGGCACAGGTACAAGCAAGGTGTGAGTTGTAGCCATCCCCATCCAGAACACAATTGTTTACTGAACAGTCTGCTGACCTCTAGTGGCACCCACCAAATTGCGGGTGGTAAAGCCATGACAAAATCTAGGAAAGCCTCGAAAGAATAGTTTTTATACATATATTCTATATTGAAATCAAGTTGTGCAAATGAATTGTAATAGTGCTGTTTATTTTTGCAGACATCGGTTCTGAAAGATACACCTTCAGTTTTACTATTCGTGATTCACCAACTTACTTTATAAATGTACATTCTTGGGGCAGAGAAGAATATATTAGATCACTTTCAGAAAGCTTTAGAGTTGGTGACTGTGGTAAGCTGGAGTTTATTCTTAACATGTTTCTGTTTGAATGTGGTTTTTTTCCCAGTAAATCAGTGTTATGTGTTTGTGGTTTTGTTATGTTTTTCTCTGAGGACTTAGAAAACAGTCTAATTGGAAACAAATTGTTCAGTTATGTTAAGTATAAAGAGGAAAGGAATATGATTTCAAGGACTTAAATTCAAAACCAGTAAATATGTCAACAAAAAGACCAGATACAAACCCACTGAATGCAGCCACCCAGAACTTACCTATAGTTAACTGATGTAAATTCTTACATTATATTCAGTTCTTATAAATTATGAAAAATAAATTGTAGAGTAGCTCGGTGGTTTTGTCTTCATTTAGTTTTAGGTATGACTATGATTGTTCATAAAAACACAACAAAAACCTTATCTTTATTTACAGTCTGTGCTTTTCTCTTGTTAATAGAAAGACTTTGCTGCCCACGGTTGCAAGTTCAGAGTGTTAGGATAGAACTTGTGACTATGGAGAGTATAAACACAAGAACTCAGTGTTGTTTTGTTTCCTTTAAATCTCTTGAGGGCTCCTGTGGGACCTTGGCTATAATGTGAGCTGTCTGGACAGATATGATTTTCAGTATGAAAACATTTAGCAGTAGTTACTGCATGTATCTTTTCCATACCAACCTTGAAAACAACCATTTTAAAAAGCCATCTCTCTTTATATGTATCTATATTCAGTTTTCTAACATTACTTATCAATGTTTTATTTTAGTTACAATTGAAAATCCTTTAGTTCAGTCAAAGGAAGCGGAAAGGGAAGAAAAATTCAACCCTGTAACTCCTAGGTAAATTTAAAGCATAGACTGGTAGTTCTTTCCAGAAAGATCAAAGTTAATTCTTGCTTCAGTTGCCAGCTGATTGCTGCAGCATGCAATTGGTAGAAGTATTTGGGGTTAGTCATCTTATGTAGCTGTACCTTCCTCCCTGTGTTCAACCATGTATGGTCAAGTAATCTCAAAAGAGAATATATTTCTCAGTATATGGTCTTTGGAGCTTTCTCATAAAGTAATAATGCTCTTTGCAACTAAACAGTAAATCTTGTTCTTTGAGCGCGGTCTACAAAAATTATTTGAAATTTATTTGATTTTGACACAGTGTTTTATGAGACGTAACTGTTTTATGGAAGGTATATTCTTATCAAAATCTTTTAACACAACACATTTATCTAGAAGGTATTTTAATACACTATAACGCTATTCATTACTTATTTGGTCAGGCATTGTAATTTCTTTTATATTGTGCAATGTATATATGTTGTATTTCAGTCTGTTCTCTAAAACCTGAACAACTGGAACCATTGTATGAAACTAACAGTGCAAGTTTTAATTTAGATATGTTTTAACTTATCTTAGATATCTAAGATGCAGATGTTAGGTAAAGATAGACTAATACACCTGTTCTTTAATTAGGGTTTCTTTCCTAATTGGTCATATTTTAATATTTTTAATCATATGGCAGTCATAAGAATATTGCATATATGCACATTAAATTGGCAAGTTAGAAGTTTTATGTTCTTGCTTACTGACCATCTCTAAGCTTTGTAACAAATGTATAGCTGTAGTAGTTACTCACTACTTCCTGGGTAAATGGAAAGAAGTAAAAGAACAAATGTCAGGTAGAAACTTCACTGAGGAAAAGAGCTTCTCTTCAAATTTTCATAGCATTTCCATTCCATTCCAAGATTCCATAAGCATTTGTAAAATATATTTATCCAGAAGTATTGAATATATCTTATTTCCACTGGCTAACAGTGCATTATAAATATTACTTAGGTCATCAGGCTATTACTTCTGAAAGCACCTTACCAAATCCAATCTGACTGTATTAATGATGACTTATGTCATGATGCCAAAACCTCTCAATTACCTGGATTACAGACATTTCAGAACTTATTTTATTCTTAGTGATTGACAAGGGCTGAAAGATTTACTAAGATGTATTGTACATTGCTAGCATTTCAATTATAAATAAGTATAAAGTACAAAATAATAAGTTTTCTGTAAGAGTAAAGTATATAATTAAAAAAAAAAAAATCAGAACCAATAAATACAAGCTTTTCCATACCTTTAGGGAAAACAATAGTGTAATAAATCAGCAGTTATTTTCTCATGTGAATTGAATTAACATTTTACACTGTTAATATATTGGTGAGTGTAATGCTGATTGTTTTGATTTGTTCTGTGCATGCTATCTAGTTGCTACAAGCTATTGCTCAGTGAAAACCATTCAGTGGTCAAAACGTCTTCATGTTATGAAACGGACACGAAACTACTTTCTCTTTTGCATCTGCCTGTCAAGGACCCTCAGGATTATTATTCACTGGGTGATATCATTGCAAATGGACAAAGCCTCGATGGAAGAATCCTTAATGTGCTTGCAGCTGTAATGTCAGTAAGTTAAGGAGGCACAACAGAGTAGTGTTTTTCTACTGTACCATGGGTAACTTAATTGACTTAAGTATGAATATGGATCTGGGGACTCACAGTGGACAGGAATCACCGGTTTTGTTTGTTTGTTTGTTTAGGTTGGCAGTCACTTCAGCTGAGTTACAACAACCATAGGAGCTGCTTAAGAATTTCATCAACATGAGGGGGGAAATAAAGGGACTGGAAATGCCCTTCATGAGTTGTCTTTTTGAAATCATGCATGTGCAAGCAGTAGATAACTTGCAAATACATAAACTGTGAATTATTAGAAAATAAAATGTGTCCCCTTATCATGAAGTAAAATTGCTGTTGTTAAACTTCTAGTGGTATATAGGTTTTCTTTTAATAATGTATATGTTTCCTCCCCCCCCCCCCCCCCCCCCCCTTTTAACTCTTCTGTTTTTTAGGTTATCACTCTTATTCTCCCAAACACTTAGTAGAGGAAAAGTGACTGTTTCTCTTTCTTCTTAAAGGTTGGGGAGCCGAAGTATTTTGTGACTTCAGACAAAAGAAAAGGTCAGAGGTGTGAAGTAAAGCTGTATGATGAAACAGAGATGTCTTTTCCAATAGTATGGTAAAATGGTTTTTAATTCATTAAAATACACAAATTAATTCAAAAGTAGGTAAATAAATTAACTATAATACCTACTGTTATAATACTATCTTTTAATTTAAATGTATTGTTATTTGGGTGGCAACTGATGAGGCAGCAATGTATGTTAAACAGAGGCTTAAAAAAGAGATTAGTAACCTTATATGTATTGTCTAATTTTATGACTTGCTGACAGACTGCTAGCTCATGAATGGCAAAATGAAGCTTATTTCCAAATAGTTACATTTTGCAATGTGGAAATTTGAGCTAATTCAGGAATTGGCATTTAAAAACAGTTGCAAAGGCAGTACATTTATTCCACAGACTAGGGTGAAGAAAAAGAGGAGTATGCTTCACTTCTAAAGCCAAGCAGAATTAACAAGTGGAATGAAAATAGGATGGAATAGTTTTTAGAATACTGTAGAAACATTTTGATACTACTTTGGCCATATTTTCAAACTGTATCCAATTTACAGACATAACTACGTCCATACCATTTATGCACATAAATAGTGGTTTGTTTACACAGGAACATTTGCATTTTGCCCACAGTTTGTTCAATAAACTCATGGCTTATCTACATGCAAGGGTAGGTGGTTATTTGTTTGCACTGGCTTTGCTGTTTGTTGGTTGAAATGACCTTTGTTCCCTAGATAGAAGTAGCAAGATAGCGTTGCACTGTGTCGGAGTTAGAGACTGTATTACCATTCAGTGTAATGTTTAACATGGTTAGTGGCTACACATGGACACTACAGAACTGCTGTGGTGTAAAGTTTTCTAGCCCTCGAGCTGCCACCAATGTCAATTTGCAGCAGCACCTCTGATACTTGTGTTTCAGTGCTGGAATGCAGCGGTACAGAGCTGTGTCCTTCAGGACTTCTCAGAAGCAGAGTCTAAGTGGTGTATTGGTGATTACCCTAAATACTGCCTGTTTTGCTCACATAGAGTCGTAGGTAGAGGCAAAGTTTCAGGAAATCCTTGAGCAACAGCATTGGAGTGAAGGTATTTCAGAGGCCATCAGTGAATAGGTGGCTGAGCAATGCTAGATGAAGTGTAAATATCTTAAATCTTTTTTTCCAAAGATTAAGAAAAAAAACTCACCAGAACAAAACTGTGCTTTGGCAGTATTCTTGCCATCCAAACTTACAAGGAACTGAATGAGATTTTATCAAGAGACCTAACCATCAAATTATCATTTTTGAGGGATACCACTGTCCTCACTCTAGTCTCATTATCCACAGTTACAAGGATTCCAGTGTTGGAAAGTCAGCTGAACATCTGGCCTAGTGATGTGAGCAATCAACTTGTTCCCACAGAAAAGGCTCAGCTGATAAGCAGTTATTTTAACAGTGATTTGCTTTAGCTGGAAATTACTTTTGTCAAAGCTCTGAAATACAGTATTTTTCCAGGTATATTCTGCATTGAATCATTTTGAACAATCTAGTAGCCCTTTATTTTATCCTGGATAAAATAGGGCCTGTATTAGACCATACATAAAGCATCCCAGCTGGCTGCAAACCAGATGCCTGTAGATACGCATGGCATTTCATGTGCATGTAACAAAGAAGTTGTGTCCCCCCTTGACCAATTTAACTATATTATTTAGTAGTTCAGTGCTAAACAGTTTGAATGCTATTTCAAAAATGTTTTGATACATTAACTTTTTTTAATTTAGTTGGGATAATGAATCTATCCAGCTTGCACAGAGTTGGATCCCACGAGAAACAGGTATAATAGTCTGGTTTTTATGTTTTTATTGTAGTTCTTAACGCATTACTTATCCTACAGTAACAGGTTTGGGGTTTTTTTGTGCACAGTAATATTTGCATCAGATGTGAGAATAAATTTTGACAAATTTAGGAACTGTATGACTGCAACTGTGATATCAAAAACCATCATTACAACTAACCCAGGTAAGAGTTGTTGAAGTATTGCTTTGCTATTAGTAATCATTATAGGCTAGAATGCATGAATGAATCGGAGGTCTGATTTTTTTTTTTTTCTGCCTGCTTGCTTTAGAAATCTCCCTGTCTGTTATGTAGTGACCAATGCTTTTGGATTTCCACCACTTTCCCTATTTTTTTTTTTTTTTAATATAAGCAGCCTTCATACATTCCAAGTAGGACTAACAGTTAAAGTAAAAAGGAGAAAACCACCTCTTGGCTAATTCCAAGAGGCAATGTGTTGGTGCTACCAGAATAAGAAGTGGTAAAATATAATTATGCTGTTATTTTTACATGCTACATATATTAATAATTTTTTAAAATATATTTTCAAGAAACAGCAGAAGCAAAGGTTCTCTTCAGTTTCATGAAAGAGAGTGTACAACCAGGGGTTTTGCATGATAAAATGGAGGAGCAGTCCAAAGAATCCATTAACTGTAAGCATGGATCCAAACATTTTGATTTTATTTAAATATGTAGTTTCACAGTACAGCTGAAATATCAAGTTCTTGCTCTGTGTATTCATAGAAACAAAACTAATGTATAGCCTGGCTGAATACTTAAAGTTTGGAGTGTTGTTACTGGGGCTATGCCTTATATTATCAGTTATGTATCTGCAGGGTTGGTGACTGCCCATTTGTAGCCTGTCTGGCATGTTCTTTCTGTCTTGAATAAGTACAAAAAATGGAGAGGGAAAGTTTTTGTCAGAAGCTCATTTTGGGGGATACAAAGAAAAAATATCAGATGTTTTCCTTATTTAAGTCCCCCCTTTTTTGTTGTTGGTGTTGTTGTTTGGTTGGTTGGGGTTTTTTTTTGTTTATTTAGTTGGGTTTTTTTGTCCCCAAATGATAAGCCTGCTTCAAAAGGAAGCTGTGTGGAGATTTTCTGATGCTTTAGATCAAATTGTCTCCTTTTTATTACCGTAAGATCTTTATTTGTTATTGCTCTTCTCCATTGTTTCTCTCTCAGATGCACTTAACATGTCTTTTAAACTTTTAGTGGAGACTATAGTTGATGTTTATACTGTGGAACAGCTGAAAGAAAAAGCTTTACAGAGTGATGGGACACTTGAACCAGTCTATGGCATTATTTATGGCTACATTTCTACACTAGACATTGATGATAATACATCTAAAGTTATTCGCAACAGATGGTAAGCAACCATGTGTTTTAAATTTGTATTGAAACATGCTTGTCCTTCTTCCCCTGACCCAAATTAGATAGAACAATATTTTAGTCCAGCTCTGGACAAGAAATAGAACTCCTCTGGCGGATGCCATGTGGATTTCTGTTGTGTAGACCTCCGGAAGTAGCAAGGAAGAGGAGCTGATTTTATGAAGGACTTGCTCTTTCTGGTCCTACAGGAGAGAAGAAAGGACATTTTGTCTCAGACAGACTTAAGAGTTTAGAAGATGAAGAATTTTTTTAAAGATTAAAAGTCTCTTTGGAAATCTCAGTCTAGAAAACAGTTTCAAACAACGAGGAATTGCATATATGCATTAATTATCTTCTTATGTTTCAGTTCAATATGCCGCTTCATAGTGAATGAAATGTCAAACACATGCACTTTCTGCAGTGATGTCTCTTCAGATTTAAAGTCAACTTTTGCAAGCTTTGACATACTCGTTGATCTGACAGATCACACAGGCACTCTTTATTCTTGTTACCTGTCTGACTGCGTAGCTGAGGAAACATTAGGCTGCACTGTAAGTAGAAATTAATTAGGTTGTTCTTATTTGATCTGAGCTGTGAAGCCTGATGGAAATTACAAATCTATGTAAATGTTCTTCATGTATATATGTGTGTGTGTGTACGCAGGTTAAAAAATTTGTGTGCACATATGGATATACACACATACAGACACAGCTTTTTAACAAGTCCAATGTTAAAGTCAGTAGCTGCTAATTAGAAGACGTGTTAAATGTAAGAGTGAAAACCCTATTCAGAATACCATTTTAATTAATTCACACTTTTCTGAGAACATGGTTGGAATTCCCTAACTTTGATTCTCAAACACCCTGCAATTTATTCTGATTAATCTGACTGTCTTGATACTTATATCAGACCAAACACTATGTTAAAATAGAAAAATACAGCTTATAAACATATACAAATCTGTAAGATGCTCTTTTCATCATCATTTTGTTGTGGAGATGTTGATATAACTATATGCTGAAGAAGTGTTCTGTGATGTCTTGTTATTAACAGGTCCACGAATTCCTCACTCTAGCAGAAGACAAGAAGACTGCACTGAAATGGCAACTTCTTTTGGAACGAAGCAAGATTTATTTTAAAGTTAGTATTTAATGTTAATTTAAAACAGTGGCTGTTTCCCATTCAGCAGTATATTTAGTCCTGAAAAATTCCATGTCAATTGTGCTGAACTCTTAAAAATAATGATTAGGTTTTGTACGTATTCTGAATATTCCAAGTAAATAGTTTTTTTCATAATTTCAACATTAGGGGATGTCCCTGAAGAGCAGGGCTCTTTCAGGCAAACTATGAGAGACTCAAACTGCCCTTAGCCAGTGCTGATTAAGGAGCTTGTATTTCAAAAGCATGTATACATGATTTACTCTGTCACTGGCTTCTATGGCTATAGGTTTCTAGTGAATAAAGTTAACAGTATCTGTTTGCAAGAATAAGGTGCAGTCAATATATGTAATAGATTGTATGATGTACATATATAGGGGTTACCTAAGTATATTCTTCAGTTACCTGTATTTTTGGAAATAATGTGATTAGGTATGTCTAAAATCTGCAATTCTCCTTAAAGCAACAGATTAGATTCACACACCTGGAGCAATTGTTAAAAGATCTGCTATTATTTGCAATATCCTTTATTTTTTCAGTTGCATGCTGTATACTGGACTGGATTCCTTTTTCACAGAACTGCTTGTTCTAGGACAACTCTAAAATGACTCTTGTTTTTAAACTTGCCCTTCTTAGTGAAACTGTTCTTACCTCCCCGTCTCCCCTACCCTCTGCTCCCTATTTCCAGAAAAAAAAGCGTTTCACTTCAGTAGTGACAAGTACATGATGTAAACTGTGTGTACTCATACAAAAAATAATGTAAAATATGTATAACCGAATCTGTCAATTAAACATGCTGTGTGATATTTGAAAACAATGTATTTCAAAGTGCTACATAGCCTTAATTATTTTTACAGGTTACTCTGTCACCCAGTTGGCGAACCGGACTGAAAGTGAATGTTCTTTCATGCAAGCTAGCAGACCTGATAGAGGCGAGTCAGAGCTTGTTGGGAAAAGAGATTGGAAATAAGAGATTGCATTATTAATAACAGCTAGGAAAAAGACTTTCTTCACTGTATTATCAGAGGTAGAATGCTGTTGTCGTCATATTTTGTTAAGCATGTTCTGATAGTAAAGAAGGAATACGCATCACTAATCCCTGTAAATGAGCTTCTGTGTTGATCTTTTCAGGTGATTGTACTTTAAAAAGCGTACTAGGGCCTTCACTTAAGGAAAGTTAATTCTGCTGAATTCATTCCCTTACAAGGGGGATGGAAGCTTTCTTCAGTCAGTTTAGAATATATTTGAACAAATCATAAATAACAAATAGTACAAGACAGGTCTGTTGGGCTTCTGTGTTTTTAACTGCCTTGTCACTTTTGAGCTACTTTTGTGTTAATTCAGAAAATAAAGACCCACTTTGAAATATTGCCTGGGTTTGTGGCGTATGTTGGTGAGTCCAAACATGGAACTTTTGGCAACTGCAAAGGCTTGGAAACAGCCATGACGTTTGCAAGGCTGCTTTTCTGTAGGGCAGACTAAGTCTCATTAGAACGGAGTAATCAATTACCAGGGACCTCTGACAACCGAAAAATCAAGCTAAGGACATAAGTGTCAGAGAAGAAAGGACTCTTCTTCACCAAGATAGCTGTTCTTAGCTGGACATAAATAACCAAGGTACGTACATTTTGCCCTTCTCCATGTGGTTTTTTTTTTCCATTTTTTAATCCATTTCTGTCCTTAGCTTCCCCTGCAGCTGGTGTATTCGCTACGTTCACCGTGGCCCTCCTCTTGCCAAGTATCTGTTAGGCTAGAAAGCCTTGAGGAACTCCGATCACCCCTAGTGCACTACCTACCCGTTAAAGCAACCTGGCAGAGAGAAAACAGCTACGGAAACAGTGAATTTTGATGAGCAGTGCTCCAAGATTGCATCCCCCTACTCATGTGAGTGGTAACAATGGACTAAATGCACAAAGAAAATGTTGCCAGTGTTGGGTCACTGCATCTCTCCTGTTGCAGCAATAAATGACTTCAACATTTTCCAGCCATAACAGCTAATACTCTGAAGTGAACATTTCCAATAATTTTAGCCACAACTCAGCTTCTCTATCAATACACAGTGCTGAAGACCAAACTACAAATGATGCATTGTTGTTGTTGCCATAGGCAGTAATGTTTGACAGGCACGAAGAAAAGGAAACAGTACAGAAAGTGAATTTAATCCTTCCTCTTTCAGAATTACTCACCCTAACTTCCTTGCTCAGCCCAGCTCTTGGCCTGACTTCTCTGCTTGGCCCAGCTCATCGAGCTCCAACAAATTCAGAGCACAGCTTTCCCACTGACAGAGGCAGGCTTAAATCAAGGAGCATTTTGCCTTCGATGTGCCAGGGGCTGGTTCTGTTCAGATGTAACAGCTGAATGTTTGTTTCCATTGGCCTCGGTTCTGTAGCCTTCCTTTAGATGAAATCTGAATGATGTCCTCAGCATGTAGGCCTCATCGTACAGAGAGCTTTTACATGTGCTTTAAGTCATTGGCTTAAGTCAAAATACAGTGAAATTAAATGTTTGCAGGATTGCTACCCAGTGCAGGTGGTGTAGGGGTACGCAGAGGTGTGCTGCAGATGCATGCAGCTGGAGAAGCAAGTTGACAGGAAAATGTCTATTTTCATTCTGTGGCATGTTCTGCTTTCTTTTCACCGTGTGATTTGCAGTACCCAGGACCATGCTGCTCTTTCGCAGAGGTGCTTGCCGTTGGGCTACAGGAATTTTCTTTGCAAGCCCCTCCAAATGCACTTTTAAAGACAAAGCGGTTATTAAGATCAGGCTCCAATAAATGGAAGCATTTAACTTTGGCGCTTGCACGTATGTAAAAAAATAATCCATCTGTTTTTGTTAAAAATTAGTCACTTCTTTGCAACCTTTGAAAATGGTAAGTTTTGATGTTTGCGGGGGGAGGAGGGTTTTTTTAATTATATTTTACAACTTTGTCACTCCTTTGAATTGAAAGGGAACTCGCTGTCATGCAAACTGGTAGAGAGTGTTAGATCAGTTGGAGTTTGAAAACGGGAAAAGTTACACAGCATGGCTTTTTAACAGCTGGAAATATTTAAAAACTTCAACTGTTGCACTGCATTGTATAAGTAACAGCAATTGTTGAAGTTAGATTTTTTTTTAAAAAAATATACTTAAATCAATAAAAGTAAAGACAAGTTTACCAATGATCTTCTTTATTGTTGATCTTTTGTATTATTTTACTTTTAGAAGCCTATTTAAAGCTCAGTTCAGGAAAAAAAATCTGCCAAGCATCTGGCACATTTCCTGCTGCATTACACCCCTTGGAGTAGGAGGGAAAGCAATCCTCATTTAATTTGTACATCTGAAAAATGCACGGAGGAATCATGAAACTAATCTAAAAAGCAAACATCTTTTAATTGTAGAATACCCCAATGAGAGAAATTCTTTCTGAAGCTGTAATTCTTGATTTACTGCTACACATACATCTTTGATTTTACATAGCATGGGTGAGGTTTAGCTCCTACATCACCGTTTTAATGGTTTATTTTATAATTTTTATTTTAAGGCAATACATTGGCAAAGCTCAAAGCATCGGCCGAGAAGATGAGCGTGCGCAGTGCCAGCCAGCCCAGCTGCCCAGCACGCTGTCTCCATCGACACTTCCAAGGTACAGTTTTGGTATTAACCCTCTGCCCCAGGCTGGGTTGGACTCCAGGTTCACAACCTGAGAGGAGGCTGAAGCCTCCATGGAAACGGGGCTGTTTCAGTCAAACGCTTTTTGAGTTACGTGTCTTTGATGCGTGACAGTCCATTAGACGCTCGGGCCATGTAAGTGTTTAATGTACAGGTCGGCCTGTGTGTCTCTTCCTTCACCAGATGTCCCCAAAAGAGCCTCCTCCTACGCAGACCGGGTCCCAGCCCGGCTCCCAGTCAGGATCCACGTGTTTGCTGCGCCACCTTAAACCGCATAGAGAGGACATCTCTTATCCCAGCCTCTATCTCATCGTTGGCCTGCACAGACCCAACTCCTTCGGGAGACCCCGTCAGAATCAAGTCCCCTTCTTCCAAGGTGAATATTTCACTGATGTAGCTGATCAGGTAAGGGATGGAAAAGATCATCGAGGAGGTCTCCCCCTCCTGCCTCAGCTTTCCGTTCACCTTGAGCCAGAGCTTCAGCTTGTGAGGGTCTGGGATCCTCTCCTTGGGCACGAAGTCACTGACCGGGCACGATGAACTGAAGCCCTTGGCCAAGGTCCAGGGCAGCCCCTTCTTTTTACACTCCTCCTGCGTGTCCCTGGCCGTCATGTCCAAGCACAGGGCATAGCCCGCCACATGCTCCATGGCAGCCTCCTGGGACACGGCCTGCGCTCTCCTCCCGATCACCACCCCCAGCTCCACTTCGTGGTGCAGGTTGTTGCAGTAGTAGGGCCGGAGGATGGGCGAGCCTTCGCGCACGTAAGCCGAGGAGGGCTTGAGGAAGAAGAGGGGCTCCTGGGGCAGCGCGCTCCCCATCTCCTTGGCGTGCTCGGCGTAGTTGCGCCCCACGCAGACGATGTTCCTGCCCCACTCCCAGAACCGGGACAGCGGTTTGGAGGAGGCCATGGCCGCGGCGGGTCTCCTTTCCCCGGGGACCGCGGCCGCCCTTGGGGCGTCCTTGCCGTGCTGCCGCCGCTTCCCCTCCGCCCCGCTCTCCTTCCTGCCCGCCGCGGACTGCCCCGGCCAGCCGTCTGCCCTCCGCCTCCTTCCCCGGGTTAGCAAATCGCCCGGCCCGGGCGTGCCGAGAGGCAGCGGGGAGGGAAGGAGGGGGCCGGCCGGGCGCAGCGCCGCCCCCGCCGCACGCCGGGCCGGGGCCGGGGCCGGGGCCGGGCCGCCGCTGCCCGCCTCCCCGGGGCTGGCTGCAGGGCGGGGAGCAAAGGTAACCGGGCCGGGCCTGGGCACCGGGCGGGGCGCGCCGCACCATGCTCGGCGGGGGCTGGCGGGGCCTCGGCACCGCCCTGGCTGCCCTGGGAGCTGGGGCCCTGCTCCGAGCCGGTACGTGGGGCGGGCGGTGCGGCTCGGCTCGCCCGGCGGCCGGGGATGCACCCCGGTAGGGATCCTCCGGGCCGGGCCGCGGGGACCGGGCCGCGTCCCCGGGCAGCGGGGCGGGGTGGGATGGGATGGGATGGCCCCCTCGCAGCGGGGCTGGGTGACCTCCTTGCAGCCAAGACCCGGGGTGGAGGGGGGCGTGCGATGTCCCCCTTGCAGCTGGGACCGGGGAGAGGGCGTGGGGGGCTGTGCTGTACCCCTTCCCCCCCCCCCCCCCCCCCCCCCCCCACCCGTACAGCCGAGACCCGCGGGGAGCCGGGTGGCTGCAGGCACCCGGCCCTGGGGCTGGTGATGGGCTTCAGCCCGACTGGCAGCAGGTCCCCCCGGCAAGCCTGGAAGTTTGACAGGGGGTTTTCTCTGCTCGTTTCTCATCTCAGGGGTGTGCCGAGGTTTTTAAGCTGACTCACAGCCCCAAGTAGGTCAGTGTCTGCTCAGCTGGAGCCTGTCTCTGGCTTTTTTGCATCCCTAACCCATCTGGGAGGCTCCTGCTGAGCTTTTGGGCTGCCAAAGAGCTGGTTATTGCTCTGGGGGGAGGGCTTGGGGGACGAGAACTAGCATGTAAACTGGATTTGATGGATGGCAGACCGTGTTGGCAATGTAAACAAAACCCCCAAAACAACTGTCTAAGCTCTGCATTTAAATTTAGGGCCTAAATTCTGAAAACATCTTATTGAACTGGAGCTTGGGCTCTAGCTTTGCAGTGTTTCTGGGAAGTCTTGCCAGAGGCCTGTTGCATCACTCCAATTTTAAGACCTGGCCTTAACATGTGAGAATCCATTGGTGTTAACTGCCAGACTTGGAAACCCTGATGCTATCTTGGGAACGAGTATGTCAAACCGAGTAACTAGCAGCTCCTGACTTTCCCAGGTTGCAAGGGCGGGTGCTGCACCTTCCACAAAGGCTTTGCCCCACCAGTGGGTGGGTGCCCTGCCCACGCTGGCTGGACCTGGCTGTGCCGCCGGCGGCGTGTGCCAGGTGGGCAAGTCGAGTGGGAGTTGCCCTGGGTTTGTGGACCATCTCGCTTGGTATTGTGTGGAGCCACAAACTCGCTGGGCATCCAAAAAACATCTGCGTGCAGAGTATGTAAAAGGTGAACATATTGTTTCTTCTTAGGAGGCAACACAAGGATGTTAATCTGGGTATGTGTGTGCAGTGATTTTTGAGTGACAGCCATGTTTGAAATAAGAATTTTCCTCTCTTTTCTGTAATAAAAAGAGTAAAACAAAATGCTATGGAGAAAATGTACAAAGCATCCCTTTTCTGAGGGAACCTACTGTTTTGTACTGTGCTGCTGCCTGCTTGCCTTCAGTCTCCAGCACATGTATGTTTATATGATAACATTAACACTTCTCATCTGCAAACCTTTTCCTCTTGGCGACTCAAGCTGCACTAATGAGCTGTTCCAGAAAGCCAAAGTGTGATTCTAAGGCCGTCCGTGTTCTGCTCTCCCCAGTCCTCTCTGCTTCAGGCATGAAGTCAGGAGGGACACGTTACAAAGCTGAGGAAATGTAAAGTCATGGGGCAGTAATTGTGGAGCAGACCTGCATGCATTACAGCAATCCTGAAATGATCCGTGTTAGTGCTGGGCCAGGGCAGGGGTTACATGTGGCTTGGGGGGAGCCTCCGTGAGCGGGACGGGGTCCCAGCGCCGTGAGAGCTCGCCGAGTGGGCAGGCTGGAAAGGTGCAGCTTAGCTACAGATGGGAATTCAGAATGAGTTTCATGCTTCGTGGATGTTTTCTCATTCCTTTGTTTGAATTATGTTTTAGAAAACATTTCCTTATGTGATGTAGCTTGTTTGTTTGTTTTGCAAGAATTGTGAATTAAACATGCAAAGAGACTTTGGGATCACAGCCAAGGTTAGAAATGGTTCATAGGAAGAAAGCATTTTAAGTATGTGAATAATTCCTTGGACTTGAAGTTGAGGTGGTGTTTTCTTTTGGTTTTGTCTTGTTTTTTTGTTTGTTTGTTTTTTTTTTCCCCAGTTAGTGTCTAGAATGCAAACAAACATGCAGTATATATACCTCTTGTGACTGACAGCTTTCAGAAGTCCTTCATGTTAGGGAGCAGTTAAAGAGCAATTGATTTTTTTAATTGTTTTTTTTGGTTGTGTTTTGGTTTTTGTTTTTTCTTTTGTTCCCCTATCAAAGAATAGTAAGGGGTTTTTTTATTTGTTTGTGTTCTTTTTTTGAAAGGACTCTTCTGTTCCAGAGGAACACTTGGCATGTATGGATGCTTTTCTCAATGCTACATGCCTTCACCGTCGCATACCCAGTGCATGCCTACACTGTCGTGCCTTGGGGTTTTCTCTGCAGCACTGTGTTTAATTTTACTACCATCTCCATTCCTTTATAAACAAGTGAGATGGTGGAGGCAGAAGGGGGAACGGTTCTGGGCAGGACAGTTGTAGCAGAGGGGCCTTACAGCTCTGCTGCCCTGGGGCTGGCTTTGCAGTGGCAGCTGCGTGTCCCGCTCAGAGCTTGGATCTTGGTTTTTGCCGCCTTGTTGACGCCGTGGGGCTGTGGAGCTGTGGGGGGGGCTGACAGTGTTGGCTGCAGCCAGATTGTGGGGCCTCTCCACTCTGAAGCCAGCTCTTATCAGGGGTGGGACCTGTTTTGGGAGAGTGGTGCAGGTTGATTAGGAGTGTGGTGGTCCCTCCCTTTGGCACTGATGGAGGCGACCAAGCACTGAGTGTTGGGAGCCTCAGGGAGAGAGCCAGTGGGGCAAAATGAAACAGCGGTGCAGCCAGCACAGTTCAGGCCAACAGAGTCACCTTCAGTGGTGTGCAAGGGCCTTGGGTGTTGAGACAACCGATTTCTGACTTGCAGAGACTGATGCCTCTTTCCCTGCATGTGTATGGACCCAGGCCTGAACTGCCGGGCTCCAGCAGTGGAAGACTTTGTCCCCTTTGTTTCCCTTCCCTTCCTTTTTTTTTTTTTTTTTTTTTTTTTTTAAGGTAGAGCCTCTTAGAGCTTGGTTGTTTCTTTAAGTGTGGCATATCTGTGAGTTAAACAGTGGAGCCCAGGTTATTTGCATCTGGAATTAGATTTGCTTCTTGGATCTGATTAAATATTTAACGAAAAGCAAATAGGAGAGCACTGCTGTTGCATCAAGGTAGACCATGAGTAAGAAACCTGCCTGCAGTGCGTGCCTGGTACCTGGCCAGGCAGGGAGCCTTGCCTTCCACGCAGAAGATCCTGTCTTCTCTTCATGCACTCTGCAGGATGTGATTTCCCCAAGTAACGAACCAGATATTTCTGTTGTAGTCGTGTGTGTATTTCTGTATTTCTCTTTTTTTTTCCCCTCCTTTTTGTCTTTTAGCTGTAGCATGGCTTTTTGTGCTTTTTTTGCAAAGTCACTATCCCAGGCTGACCTTTGTCCAGCTGCTCCCTCTCCGTGCTGCTTTCCTGCCCCTTGAAATCTTTTCTCTGATCAAGGTACAGTGCTTTCCCTGCATGAGCACATCTCTGGGAGCAGAGAGTCCCGTCCCTCTTTGGTGCAGCTGTAGGGCACAAGGTGACACAGCCAGGCACTAAGGCTTTAGTCCTGTGGTGGCCTCTCTCTTCCTATGAAGGAGGCAGGTTGGGCTGTCCATACCCTTCCTTCTCTGGGGAAACCTGGGGGACCTGCTGTGCTCTGTCCCACTTGTTCCCTTCCCTGAGCTAACCTGAAGTTTGACTGTTTTGGGGTCCCCAGGTCCGGCGCAGCTGCGAGCTGTCTTCCTGCAGACAGAGCACGAGCAGAGGAAGTCGAAGACAGTCACACAAGCAGACATGAAGGTGGAATTGCTGCCAGCCCTCACAGACAACTACATGTACCTCCTCATTGATGAGGAAACCAAGGAGGCTGCAATAGTTGATCCTGTGCAGCCGCAGAAGGTAACGCTGTCTGCTGCCCTTGCGAGCAGGGTGCTCACCGCCGCGGGTCTGGGAGATCCTTCCAGGTTGCCACATCCATGAAAGAATTAGTCACATGCTGACTCAGGCGTGGGGGGAAAGGCAGGAGGTACTGGCCATGCATAGGGTACAGACAGGGCTTCACAGGCAATCTCCTTCTGGGCTCAGGCAGCTTTGTCCCTGACTTCAAGGGTTATTGACCTGATTTTGGTTTTTGTCCTTCGTTTGATGTGGTGCAGAAAAGAAGAAATGGGACTGAGGGCTTAGTCATGGCTAGCTGGATCAGGGACCTCGTGTCCTGATCTGTAATTGCAGCTTGGAGAGGGATGAGCTCTCTGCAGAGGTGCTGGTGTAGCTCTCAAACCTTGGAGTAGTTGTGTCCAGGTTATGCCACGCACCAGCTGTGATGTTAAGTCACTTCATGTCAGTTGTAATGCTCTTGCTGTGCCCTGTGCCTGCAGGTTTTGGATGCAGTCAAGAAGCACGGCGTGAAGCTCACCACTGTCCTGACCACACATCATCACTGGTAACTATCTGCTGTAGTGGGATCCTTCTTCCCTCTGCAGAAATGCAAGCAGTCAAGAATTGTTGCTTTTCTGGATCACGTTGGCCTTCTCTAGGCAAGAGCTTAGGTGTGAGAAGAAGGAGCAGAGCCCAGGAAGTGTTCCCTTGGGCTTGCTATGACCAGATGCATCGTCTAGACTGCAAACTCTGTGTGTCGGTGCCTTTAACCTTTAAAACGCTGACTTCTTCTAGCTGACCAGGGAAATAAGTGTGTATGAAGGTAGCTGTGGAGTGCGGGAGGGAGCACACTCACACTGAGGTGCTAGGACATGCCTGTAAGATGTGCTACTCACAGTCAGCACTTGTGGGAGGATTACCTACGTTGCAGATTAACTCTGCCAGGGATGTTGTTGTGGTTTAAACCCAGCCAGCAGCCAAACGCCACGCAACTGCTCACTCACCCCCCTGCCCGGGTGATAGGGGAGAGAATTGGAGGGGTAAAGGTAAGGAGGCTCAGAGGCTGAGATAAAAATGGTTTAATAATTGAAAAAAAAAAAAAAAAAGGTAATAATAATAATGATAATAATAATAGCAATAATAGAAAATACAGTGACACACAATGCAGTCGCTCACCACCTGCCAACCAATGCCCAGCCTGTTCCCAGCCAGCAATCCCAGAGAAGTGAGGGTCCTGAAACCACAATCCTGCACATGAGAGAGCGAGCTTCCCGGCCAACCCTCATCTGTATACTGAGCATGACATTATATGATATGGAATATTCCGCTGGCCAGTTTGGGTTTGTTGCTCTGGCTGTGCTCCTTCCCAGCTTCTTGGGCACCTGCACACTAGCAGGACATGGGAATCACAGAATAGTTTGGGTTGAGAAGGACCTTAAAGACTATCCAGTGCCACCCCCTGCCCCGGGCAGGGCCCCCTTCCCCCAGCCCAGGGGGCTCCCAGCCCTGTCCAACCTGGCCTTGAACCCTTCCAGGGAGGGGGCAGCCACAGCTGCTCTGGGCACCCTGGGCCAGCGCCTCACCCCCCGCACAGTTTAAAACTCTTACCCCTCATTGAAAAGTCCTTGATTTCTTAGCAACAACTAAAACCATCAGTGTATTATGAACATTCTTCTCATACCAAATCCCACACTGAATCCAAAACACAGCACTATTCTAGCTACTAAGAAGAAGAAATTAGCGCTATCCCAGCCACAACAAGGATGAATGTTTTGCTTTAGCGGTTTTTGCAGTGCTGAACCTGAGTTACCTCTCCCGTGGGTCATAGTGCAGCCGTCCCTGTGCCCTGATCTGGCAGGACCAGCACCACAAGCGAATCCTGAGCTATTTGGACATCTGAGTGCCTGCTCCACGGTGTCTTGTGGGACACTGAATTACACATATCCCAGTTATCCCAGTCTCTTTCTGCCCTAGTTACTGGGGGATTGACTGTGAGCCCCTAAGGTTGGTGTTTCCCAACTAGGTATGAACTTGGGGGGGGCTATTCCCCCCTCTCACTGCTCTAGTTAATGGAGAAATTATTTCCACTTGTGTTGATGTGGCATATCCTTTGATATGAGGACAGTGTTAGATACTGGGAGAATAGCTGATCAGCAGTGATCACCTGGAGGGTACCATTGCAGTACGAATTATGATAAATTTGTCTTGATCTCTGCCCAAATTAATTTTCCTGACCTTCCAGGGACCATGCTGGAGGAAATGAGAAGCTGGTAAAGATGGCAACGGGGTTGCGCGTATACGGGGGAGACAGCAGAGTGGGAGCACTGACCCAGAAGGTTTCTCACCTTACCTCACTCAAGGTAAAGGGAGTGAGCTGCAGGACTTAGCTGGGGGCATCTCCCCCTTGCGTTGCAGCTTTAGAGCTGGACCGGTGTGGTTCAACTTGAGTTAATATTGTGATCACAGCTCTTTTACCTTTTAACATCTCTTGGATGTAGTTAATAGTTTAAATACAGCTTTCACCCTTTTCCAGCCCGGTGAACCGTAACCCCTCTGTCTTGTTTTGGCCAGTGATACTTTGCTGATGAGAACGTTGGCATGGCTCAGACACTGGCACTGCCTGGGGCATGCTGGTGTCAGTGTGCTCCTTGCCAGTGACACCCACCTTAACTGGAGTGGTCAGACCAGATGTGTGAAAGGAAAGGGCTGGTTCTCTGCCTAGAGCCTAGTTAGCACCCAACAAATGCGAGTAGTTCTCTCCGAACGAAGGCTGGATAACAGGGTGAGGAGAAAGTGGGCCAGCAGTGGCTAGCTGCCTGCAGTGATTTTCCAGAGCTAAAGCAGCAAACCTTCTTGGAACCTAGGTGTTTGTTTACAGATGAGACGGCAGATGACACAAACTGCTGTGAAATGTGCAGGCTGGCATGAATGTCAGTGCTAGTCTTGAGGTGCACCTTTGCGGGGGTTGAGGGGTGGGGGGCAGCAGCAAAGAAGGGAGCACAAAAGTACATGAGAAGGTGTGCAATTTAGGGCGATGGGGAAAACATCCCCTTGGCCTCATGAATGTGTTTAATCCTTCCCTTTTTGTGAGTGTCATCTACTTCTTCCCTTCAGCTTCATTTTTGTTTGGAGCATTTTACACTTGATTAACTTTGTTTAGGAGTTTGTGTTGCTCTGGATCTGTTTGCTCTTGCTGCCAACCAGACACTGAGTCACTCTGCATGTAAATGAAAAAATCTGGCAGTTCTCTTTGTCACAACACCTGCTAGGAGGAAAGAGCTTCCTTCCAAATCCCTGCCATAAAACTCTCTTGCTGGACTCTCCCAGGAGCGGAGCTGATGTTTACTGGCCAGCTATGTGAGAATTTGTCTGTCAGACTACTAGACCATTGTGATAGTTGCAATTCTTTTCTAACCATACAAATGCTAGCAAACAGTAGCTTAAGCTCTAGTCTTCTGCCTTCTTCTCAGGTGGGATCTCTTAATGTGAAATGCCTCTGTACGCCGTGTCACACTTCTGGACACATCTGTTATTATGTGACTAAGCCAAATAGCTCCGAGCCACCTGCAGTTTTTACAGGTGAGGAGTTGGGAGGTTACTTTGCCGGCAGTCTGTGTTGCAAAGAAATAAGCTACCCCTCTGCCTGTGTGCTCCTGACTCTGGATGTGCATTCATCCCTTCCTGCCAGTGCAGCTGGTTAACATCTGCATCTTGCCCCCTTACCAAGTGCTACCAAGCAGTAATTGTAAATGAAACTGGTGAAATCCCCCCTGGGTTTGTAAACCATTGCTGGACACCCTGCAAGCAACATGAAGAGCGAGCCCTGGATGAATCCTACATCTAGCAGTTTCTTCCTTGAAAGGAGCTGGTGGTTTACTGTCCCCGGTGAAACTGTGGCTGATGCCAAAACCTGTTGCTTTTCCGTAGAGCTGTACTCATGTCTGTAACAAAACAGAGAAAATAGGTGAGCGAGAGAGGGCTGGTGCTTCATTTCTGGTAGCCAGGTTCTGGATCCTGTTTTGGGGAGTAGCGTCCCCCCTTCCCTGAGATGGCACCCAGTCTCCCCAGACTGCCATGTCATCCCTCTCCTGTCGGGCGTTCTCCAGAGCTTGCACCAGCTGCTGCATGGAAGAAGTAACGGCTTAAGCGAGATTTTAGGGAACACTGGGGAAAAAACGCAGAGGCGACTCATCTTTGTTCAACTTTATAGCAAAGAGAACAAGCGTTCCTTGCCCGCTCTAGAAAAGACAAGAGGGGGCCAGCAGGCTGCTTGCAGGTAGGGAAGCGCCGGCACGGTTTGCCTGGCGAGGCTGTGGGGCTTCCTGCCTTAGAAGTTGCGTTTGCCACGTGGGTTTTTGTGGCACTGAGCCCGCGTGGGGCAGCAGTGTAGCCTGGCTCTCCCCATGCCGTCCGCTGAGGAGGACAGCAGTGGCAGGGCTGAGCCCTCGGGGGCCGCGTGCTCACGCTTTGGTGTGAGGAGCCTTGGCTGGTCCTGATGCCGTGCCACTCCTCCCTTGCAGGTGACACGCTGTTTGTGGCTGGTTGTGGGAAATTCTTCGAGGGAACCCCGGAGGAAATGTACAGAGCGCTGATTGAGATTTTGGGCAGCTTGGACCCCAAAACGGTACGAACCTCTCCTTCTGTGATAGTAAGTTAACCGGCCAGAAACTGCTACAGACATCCCCAAACTGTCTTTGTAATAATGCTGCCCTTCAAAGAGGGAATTTCTCATGTGTTGAAGAAATGAACGCTTACATCCGGGATTGTCTTTGATGCTGAATAGCTGGAGTCCTCTGGGAAGGAAATTCCTACCCCAAATACGTCTGTGCTTTGTGGGGAAAGAGTAGGGGCTGCTTATTAAAACAAAGGCTAGCAAGCTGGAATGCCTGGGCTCTTTCATCAGGCTTGCTGTTAAATTGGCAGATAGTACTGGCTGATAACTCCTGGCCCTTCTCCTGTGCGTGTCTCCGGTGGAGAGTGTTGTGTGTCCCAGAGGGCTGACTTGTTCCTCCTGTACCATAACATTGGTGGTGATACCTGGCACTCCACCTCTGCGCCCACAGAGTTACCTGGTGTCACTCTTCCTTTCTCTTCCTAGAGAGTTTACTGTGGTCATGAATACACGATCAACAACCTCAAGTTTGCTCGACACGTCGAACCCAATAATGTCACTATCCAAGAAAAGCTTGCTTGGGCCAAGGTAAGCTGGTTCATCCAGCTGGTTTATGCTTTCATGGAGGCAGAGCCTCTCTCAGGAGGCAGAGGAGAGAAGACAATGTTGGGGACGAAGAAAGGCTGATGGAAGGGAGTCAAGAGCCAGGAGCTGCAGTATGTTGCTGCGTGGTGGGGAGCAATGTGTTGGGGAACAGGGTCTGTGTGTGGCCCAGTCAAGACGGTATGCTCTTTTGGTGGAGATGTGACCCTCCCTGAAAACTTCTTGGTATAATTACAGGCTGATGTCCACGTCTGGGAGGGTCAGCTCTGTCCCAAGTCTCTGTGGGAATGGCCTGACCTGAGCAGCAGCTCAGGCAGTTAGGTGCACCACCAACCCTACGTGCTTAATGTACAGGACATTTCTTGTTCACCAAAGCACTCCTCATTAAGCAGAAATCTCTCCCTTGTTACAGGCAAAGTATGACAGCGGTGAGCCAACCATACCCTCCACCATTGCAGAGGAGTTTACGTACAACCCCTTCATGCGAGTGAGGTATGGAGGAGATGTGGGTGTGGGGATGGTCCTTGTGTTTGGAGGGGGGATGCGGGAAGGGGGAGGCCTCCAAAGAAAGAGCTGTAAGTGGGAATTGCTCTCCTGCCTTGCATATTCCTGTTCTGCTGCCCTCAAGACCCTCCTTAAAATATAACTCATTGTCCTGGCAGAAGCTTGCTGCAGTGAAATTTGAAGGGTTGTGGTGAGCATCTCTGCCAGCGTTGAAGTCCGTGACTCAGGAGACAGAACAAGCTTCATTGTGTAATTATGTTCCTTCATCAAGCAGAGTTTGGCAGATGAGTGCAGCGAAAGATGCTGTGCAAGCATAAGAGTGTTTGCAATTTCCTCTTGCCAATGAGCATTTAAACCAAGGGAGCTGATAAGCCTGTGCCAAAGCCCCGAGTCTTTGATCTTTAAGTGCAACATTTCCCCTTGATGCAGGCGAAACGTGATAGTAGTGACTTCATATATGAGATTTTATCTTGCAGCCTTTGCATTCGCTGTCCCTGCTGTTCCTTCCTGGCAGGGAGAAGGCAGTTCAGCAGCACGCTGGGGAGACCGACCCCATCCGAACAATGGGCGCCATCAGAAAAGAGAAGGATAACTTCCGAGTCCCGAAGGACTGAGCACTCTGCCTGGGTCACTTTAATGTCAGTTTAAGTGTAATTTAGACTATTCAGATGTTTTAGGAGTTGAACCTTCTGTTGTGGTTGAGACAGTCATATTTAGGTTTTTATTTTGTTTTAATTAAGGAAAAAAAAAAAGCACTTTGCCCTTGTCGAGATGTTCTACAGCATATTTATATTATGATGAAGAATATTTATCCTTCTATTGCTGGCTCTCAAACTGTCACATGTGTCACATGCAGATCATTTTACAAGTATTGGTACGTGGCTCAGAGTCTGGGGTGGGGAAAGGTCAAACCTTGAGGTCTAGGAAAAAAACTGTTATTTTTGTAGGAGCCTGATGCGAATGCATACAGTGGGACTGGGGCCTGAGATGTCTTCATTTAAAACAGAGACAAAATGCAGTAACGACCTTGCCAGCTGAAGATTGAAACTTTTCTTCCATGCTGCTACTTCAACAGGCGCTTCTGAGTCTGTCGCTTCTGGCTCCACTAAAACCAGTTCTCAGTGACAGACCAGCTCTGCCACTGCCAGTTCAGGGCTGAGTTGGTGAAATACGCGGGGTGGTCTGGCGCTGGGAATGGCACAGGGGGACTGTCCAACTTTTCTCTTCTCTCTGACATTCCCGGTCGTGGGCTGCAGTAACTTTTCCAGGCAGCACACTGCCTTAGAGATTGCACTGTTGCTTTTGCCCGCTCGCGCTTAACTTAAGCCTGTTTGCATGAACCTGCTTACTGCTCTTAAGTGTGATCTGTATGTTACCTGTATTAGTACCACACAAACGAAGAAGGGATTTGTCTGCTAGTTCAAAATCCTGAGAAGAAACCACTTACCTAGTGACTAACTGCCTGCCTAACAGCTGAGCAGCGATGAGACTCCTCCAGCAGATGATCGCCAGAACGGCTGCTTTGTACCTCGCTGTGAGTAACAGGTTTATCAGCTGGGCGCTGCTCCCCAGCGAGAGAGCAACTGTTCTGGTGAGCACTGGCAGTAGCCAGGCTGGGACTGGGAGACTCCAGTTTAACTGGCCTGGTTTAGAGCAGATGCTGTTTGCTGCTGGGATTAATCAGCTGCCGCCTGGTCCAGCCTCTCTGCTAGAAAGGCCTCAGAGGTGATGCTCTAAATGGGGAGGGGGTCCGTGTATTGCCAGGTTATGCAGGGCTCAGATCTCAGACCCCCCGAGAAACCACACTGGCGTGGCATGTTTCTTTTTCTTGGTTGGTCCACGGGGCTTAAAAGCTGTCTCTGTCGTTGGACTAGTGCTGTGGGACCCCGGTGTGCAGCCAGCTTGAAAACTGCAGGGAGGGAACTTCCCCTCGGGCGGTTTTCCTGACGAGGTGTCGAAATGGATGAATGGGATAAACTTTGGGGGAAAATAAATCCAGATTTTAAGTGAGTGGGTCAGCTCCCTCCTGCACGCTCGGTTTTTAAACAAAAGGGATGTGAGTGGAGGGTGGTAGGACCCAGCCTTGCGGGCTTGGCATCTGCATCTTTAATGCATCTTCCTCCTAATTATATTTTCTCCCTTGTTTCTTGGTCTCGGCTGCATACTGCAGATCTGCTCAAGTACAAGAGATTTTCAAAAAAATGTTTTGCAGCTGAAAGTAACAAGAGATTCAAACGGTTTTGATTCCAGTTTCTCCCCCTCTTCCCCGTGCATGTGGGTAAGTAACACCACGGTGGAGTCTGTAACCACCTGGGTGTCACGGCTGTAACGCTGGTCTGTTCCAACCAACACGCTGACTGGCAGTGTGTGAGTGGGATTTGGTGTAGCACCATTTCTTTATATGCTTCAAAAAGGTAAATTTTATGGAGTTCAGAAAGAAAAGTGGTACCTAAAACTTCACTGCCTCCCTAACTTGAATGCTGTGCTGCTACAACGGAGCGTGATTGTACTGATGGCTGTTTGACAAACGAGCAAATAAATAACAGCTGGAAACCGGGCAGCGGTGGGGCAGTCTGGAAGAAGGGGGGATTCTTTCTCTCACTTTTTTTAAATTTATTTTTTTTGTATTAGTGATTGAAGTCGAACAACTGGAAGCATCTTTCTACCTAATCCTGGAGGGGAGCGGGAGGCATTTTTGAGATCCTCTGGGGCTTTATCCAAGGTCTTGGTTACAACTCTATTTTATTTTGAGAGAACAGAGCACGTTTGGCACTTGTTTCCTGCTGGCAAGCGCCGCTCCCTCCTTCACGAGTGGCGTTTTGGGGGGGGACTGTGACGTGGGGCTGTGCCTGGCTGGGAAGGGCACTGGGACGCGGCCCTGCTCCTGCCTGCCCCCCCCCCCCCCCCCCCACCTCCGTGGGTGCGTTTTGGGGCTCGAGTGGGTCCGAGACTGGCTCTGGGGCTCTGACTTGGTCCTGAGCCACCTCCCGTGTCCAGGACACTCGTGTCACTGGTGTTGCCGGTGCCTGGTGGGAGCCAGCACCCCCCGGGGAAGGTGAAACCCCCCCCCCCCCCATCCCTCGCCCTTGGTCACAGTGGGAGAAGGGGCTGGTTTTGTGACTTGGGGCGCCTGGCTGGGCTGCGGTTTGGGGGTCCCGGGGGGGTGGGAGTCGCCTCTGTTGCCCCAAGAGGGCTCCCCAAAGCCGGGCTCCCCCCCACCTTCAGCTTGGGTGCTGGTGAGCGGCAGGACCCCCGCGAGCAGGCGCGTGGACGTGTGTGGGGGGGTGTTTTAGCCCTCTGCCTCCCCTCGTGGGGGTCTCCCCCCCCCCCCCCCCCCCCCCCCCCCCCGCTCCTGCTTTGCACCGGAGGGAGGAGGGAAGTCCCCCCCACGCAGCGCAGCGGGGGCCGTGCGGGCTGTCACCCCGCCCCACGCAGCGTGATCCGCCCCGCACTGCACCGGTGGGGGCGGGACGCGCCCGCCCGCTGCGGGGAGGGGCCGCGCCGCGGCTCCGGGCGGTGCCGCCCGCAGGTAGCGGCAGCGTCACGCGTGGGCTCCGCCGAGGGTCGCGCTGGGGGCGACGCGACCAGGCTGGGAGGGGGGAAACCGCCCCCACCTCCTCCCCCCCCCCCCCCCCGCTCCCCCGGCGTGTCCTCGCCCTGCGGCTGCGTGGGGACAGGGCCGTCCTCCCATTTTGCTGCGTGCGGCCGGGGCTGTTCCCCTGTTTTGCTGCGTGGGCCCCCCCCCCCACGCCGTGTCCCACGGCCGGTGCTGGTGGGGGACCATGAAGGTGAAGGTGATTTCTGTCCTGGAGGACAACTACATGTACCTGGTGATCGAGGAGAGCACCCGGGACGCCGTCGCGGTGGACGCTGCTGTCCCCAAAAGGGTGAGAGGCGTTTTGCATCCCCCCCCCGCGACTCACCACGTCCCGGGTGGGGGCTGCGGGGTCCCACCTGGGGGGACGTGCCCGTGGGGTTGACACGCGGGGTCTTTGCGTGCAGCGGGGTGCATCCCACGGGCTGGGTTGGCCCCTGTTCACCCCCCCCCCACACGAGACCCCACTCCCACCCGGGCTGCGGGGGGGGGGGGCGGTCCCCACGTTGCCTTAACCATTACCTCCCAGTCCTCCCCACACCCAAACTGGAAGCCTCGCAGACCTCAAAGCAAGTGAAAATAACCCCAAACAGGGCTTTGGAGCGCGCCTCCCGCGTGAAGCCCCGTTTTTGGGCGGCGGGCCGGGAAGGCAGCGGCCGGGGTCACCCCGTGTCACCCCCCCCCCCCCCCCCCTCCCGTGTCACCCCCCCCGTGCCACCCTCGGGGGGCTGCGAACGCCATCGCCGGGTTTGAAGCGTTTGTTGCTGACTTGGCCGTTTCCTTCCTCCCGGAGGAGCGGAATCGGGAGCAGCCGGAGGGTTGGTCGGTCGCAGGGAGTTTTAAGTGGGTGTGAAAAAGCCTCCCGGCAGCTGTGCCTCCCTCCCTGAGCCACCCGTAGCCACGATGGCTTCCACGGCCACCGTCTCCCCGCCGCGGTGGCCACCCCTTGCGTGGCCCGTGCCGCACCGCCCGCGCTTACGCTGCGAAAGCGCCGCCCGTAAAACGCCGCCGGCCCCGCGGGAGCGGCGTGGGATCCCCGTGGGATCGACGGGGTCGGGCGTGGGGAGCTGAGCCTTCATCCCACCCTCATCCCCTTGCTGCTCGGCGGTTGGTTTGGACCTTTTTCTCTGCCCTGCTCCACCCGTTACGGGACGGATCCTGCGTGGGGCCGGGGCACTGGCTGCTCGCGGCTGTGCGGCTGGAGCAGCCGTGGGGGGGGGTGGGTGTGGGGTGGGTGTGGGTGTGGGTGTCACCTCCTCTCTCCGCGCTGACTTCCCTCTGCTCTGGCTCCGTTTCAGTTGCTGGAAATCGTCAGGAAGGAGGACGCGGTGCTCAGAGCGATCCTCACCACCCACCACCACTGGTAAGCGTCGCCCCGGGGGGGGGGGGACACACACGACTGGGGGGGTGGCCGGGCCCGCGGCTCCATCCCCCCCTCTGCCCACTCAGGGACCACGCGAGGGGCAACGAGGAGCTGGCGAGGCTCTGCCCCGGGCTGCGGGTGTACGGCGCCGATGAGCGGATCGGGGCCCTGACGCACAAAGTGACCCACGAGCAGGAGCTGACAGTACGTGGCCGTAGGGATGGCGGGAGCCCCCCCCCCCCCACCCCGGGGCTCGACCCCCCACGCCACGGGTCCTGCCCCACGGCGGGGAGCGGAGCTGGGCGATGGTGCGGCGCCCGTGCCGGGGATCTGTGCTCAGGTTCCCCGTGCCCCCCCGGGGGGGGCGGTTGCAGACGTGGCGCCGTGGATTTGGGGCAGGGATGGAGCGCTGGGCTGGGGGAGAGACCTTGTCCCACTCCCAGCCCAGTTGGGATCGCGCTGGAGCAGACCCGGGCGAGCCAGGACTCGCCCAAACCACTGCTCCCAGCATGTCTGCGATCCGCTGAGCACCAAGCAGGATGCTGAGGGGCTTGGGGTGGGCCCCGGGGGGGGGGGTGTGTGGGATCTGGCTGCCCGTCAAGGCTTGGGCAACCCCAGTGGGGTCCTGACCCTCCCTCCCCACAGTTCGGGGCCATCCGGGTGAGGTGCCTCTTCACCCCCTGCCACACCTCGGGCCACATGTGCTACTTCATGTGGGAGGACGGCTCCCCGGACGCTCCGGCTCTTTTCTCAGGTATCCCACGGCGCCCCGTGGGGCGTGCTGCCTGCCTGCCGCCCGACCCCACCCCCACGCTCACGGGGTGAATCCAGCACCTGGGGGGGGTTCCCACCCGGCTCCCCGGGAGCGGGGCAGGGTCCCCTCCGTTCCCAGAGCCCTTTCCCTGCAGGTGACACCCTGTTCGTGGGAGGCTGCGGGAAGTTCTTCGAGGGGACGGCGGAGCAGATGTACACCAACCTCACCCAAATCCTGGGGGCTTTGCCAAAAGAGACGGTGAGTGCCCCCATGTCTCAGCCCCGGCCTGGAGAGGGACCCTAAAATCGTGAGGGGGCTCGAGGCTGGCACGTGTGACACAGGGTACTTCCCCCTGGCACTGCAGAAGGTGTTCTGCGGCCACGAATGCACCGTCCGAAACCTCAAGTTCGCCCTGAAAGTGGAACCGGAGAATGAAATAGTGAAGAAGAAACTCGCGTGGGCCAAAGTAAGCGGCTGTGGCCCCGCTGGGGCGGGGGCAGAGGAGGTGGTGGTGGGTGCCGGCAGGTTTTTGGACGTCTCTGGTTCCTCGGCAGCAGCGGGATGACGAGGACTTGCCCACGGTGCCCTCCACGCTGCAGGAGGAATTCCTCTACAACCCCTTCCTGCGGGTCACGTAAGCAGCGCCGGTGCCTTGGGGGGGGGGGGGGCATGAAAGGCCCCAAAATGGGGCTGGGGGGTGGGCAGGCCCCGGCTGGCTGGTCCTGCCCCCAAACTCTGCTCCCCTTTTTCCCTCCAGCGTCACCCCTTCTCCCATGGCCCCACTAGCTGGTGGGAAATCCAAGCCCTGAGGGAGGGGAGGGTGCCTGGATGGGAGGGGCCCCCCACTGCCCGGCATGGGGAACCCCCAAACAAGCCCCGTGCGCCCCAGCAGCCACCCGGCACGAGTGACTCCCCGTGTTGTCCATCCCAGTGTGCCCAGTGGGGAGGGGGGTTCCCCATCCTATCCCCCCCCCCCCTCCCCGAGTCACAGCAGAGCCCGTCTCCTTGCAGGGAGGAGCCCTTGCAGAAGTTCACGGGCAAGACGGACCCGGTGGAGGTGCTGAGGACCCTCCGCACCGAGAAGGATAACTTCAAGAAGCCCAAGGAGCGGCCCAATCCCCAGGCCGTGCTGGCGTTCGACTGGGGACTTTTCAGCCCTTTCCTGGAGCAGAAGTGAGCAGCCGCGGCGACCCGGCCGGCTCTGACTTAACCCGTAAGACTTGGCAAGTGGTTTTTGTCTTTAACCTGCTCGTTTGGAGGCTGCTCTGCCTTCGCTCCCTCCAGCGCCGTGCCGGCTCCCCCGGGAGCTCTGCTGAGCGCCCGGTCCCTGCGGGGAGGGAGTACGTGGGTGCCTTCAGCGAGCTGAGGCACCGCCCGACCACCCCCCCCCCCCCCCAGCCCGGGAGGTGTTTTGGGGAGGACACCCACGGTCAGGTTGCGGGGTGCAGTCTCCTCATTTGTGCAAAAAAAGGGGAGAAGGTCTTCGAGGGACGGTGGTGCTGTGCCCCACGGCCCAGCCAGCGCCCGCTGGGCTGCCACGTGCTCGTGCTCCTGCCAGACCTGGGTGCTCCATCGCGCTCCACGGGGGGGGCCGGGCTGGTGGGGCAGCCCCCCCCCCCCCCCCCCAAACCCTCCCTTTGCCCCCCTGAGGGCAGGGACGAGGCGCCGGGACTTGGATGCACAAGGGACGGCGACTGGTGCTTTCGCTGGCGTTCGGCAGCACCGGCGTCGCTCCAGACCTGGGCTGACAGAAATCCCTCCTTGCAGCGGGGTTTGGAGAATTTTTTCCCCTCCTCTGCTGTTTTTTTTTTTTGTTTTTTTTTTTTCCTATTTTTACAGTAGGCCAACACAGAAACATTGTGCAGGGATTTGTAACGCGATCGCCGATTTACGGGAGCCGTCCACACCGCTTAAACCGTGCCGAGTGCGCTCGGGCCTGGAGGACAGTGTAGTGTGCTCCAACCCGCTGGCTTTGCGAAATACTTTTCAGGGTGCGACAGTTTTTAGGCAGCAAACAACAACGTGCTGCTGCACATCCATTGCTGCTTCCCCCCCCCTCTCCCCAAGATAAAAAAATGGGGAAAGGAAAGCAGTTGGCTGCAACTAATATTTATGTTGCCTTTAGAAAAAGAGCTCAGGAGCAGCTGAGTTTCTCGAGCCTTTTGATTGTGCAAAATCAGCGCTGTATAAAGTCGGGGAAATGTGCTACGCTTTTATTTGCAGGTGGCGGGGAGGTGCATTACAAATCAGTAAAGTAGTTTTCTTTTTTTGGGGGGGGGAAAAAGAAAAAAAATAGAGCTTGATGGTAGCTCTGTAAATAGCTGTGAAAATCGAGGTGAAGGGTCTGGGCTCGGGCAGGCGGCTTCGGCGTGGTTCAGCTGGAAACACAGAGGAGCTGAGCTGGTCCCGTCCTCCTGTACCCTGTGCTGCCACTTCTAACAGCAACAATTATAAATTTTATAGCTCCTAACACTGGACTGGGGTTGACTTCAGGATCGTGTGGACTGTGAGCCGCGTCTGTTACCACTGGAGCCTGGTTTGTGGCCGTTTCTTCCCTTGCTAGAAACTAGACCGAGGTTTTTTTTAAGTTGTAGCGTTAGAAGCGACTCTGCCCCCTCGAGGGGGAGAATTCATCCTGCTGCAGGAGTTGCCTCGCTACTGTTGCCTCAAAGTTGCTCAGTTTAAGTGTACTGGTACAGTTTGTGGCCCTTACCTGGGTGTTGCTCTGCAAGTTTATTTTCGCTGGGAGCAGAGGTGCACCCCTGCAGTGGGGGGTGGGTGGGTCCTGGCTGTGCACCCCTGCAGCGGGGGGGGGGGGGGTGGATCCCGGCTGTGCACCCCTGCAGCGAGGGGGGGGTCCTGGCCGTGCACCCCTGCTGCGGGGGGGGGGGGTGCATCCCGGCCGTGCACCCCTGCAGCAGGGGGGGGTCCCGGCCGTGCACCCCTGCAGCAGGGGGGGGTCCCGGCCGTGCACCCCTGCAGCAGGGGGGGGTCCCGGCCGTGCACCCCTGCAGCAGGGGGGGGTCCTGGCTGTGCACCCCTGCTGCGGGGGGGGGTTGGGTCCTGGCTGTGCACCCCTGCAGCAGGGGGGGGTCCTGGCCGTGCACCCCTGCAGCGGGGGGGGGGGGGTCCTGGCCGTACACCCCTGCAGCAGGGGGGGGTCCTGGCCGTGCACCCCTGCAGTGGGGAGGCAGGGGGTCCCGGCCGTGCCCCCCTGCAGTGGGAGGGGGGGGGGTCCTGGCCCACAGCTCGGGTTGGAGCCGCTCTGGCAGCAGGAGCAGACGCCTCGCTGCGGCCCGAGGGGCGAGCCGGCAGCTGGAGAAGGGGACGAACGTAGAGCCCGTCGTTTTAAGCTCCGGCTCCTTCAGCTTCACGTCCCTGGGCGCTTCTGGCCGGGCGCGCACGCTCTCCACACACACCCCCCGGGTTTCTTTCGCAGCGTTTGTGGCCTCAGCACTGCGCTGCCTCTGCGTTGCCAGCTCTGGCTGTAGGTCCCGACGCTCTGGTGCAGGCCAGCCCTGGGTGTTGTAACCCCCCTGCACGGGGAAGGGCAATCGCTGGAACCACCCCAACGACCAACCTGCTTGTAAAACGACCGGGGTGGGGAAGGGGGGCAGCACGGAGAGATTCTTGCCTTATGAACACTGTGAATTCACTACTCGATCAGCAAGACCTGAAAAATGTAAAGCTTTTAATTAAAAACATTCAAAAACTGGTCTTTTACGCTCTTGGCTTGCTTTTACTAAGGAGTGGAGGTGGCTTTGAGGCTGACGCCGGCCAGCACGGCGGGGGGAGCCCCTGCAAGGGGTGGGCCAAGGCTTCCCACCGCCCTCGGGCTGGCTCTGACCAGGCTCCAGCTCCCTCTTTGTGTTTACTCTGCAGGAACAAAGCAACGCGGCAGCTTTGCTTTCAGTTTTCATTCGACTTTCTGCACAGTCCTTCTTCCTCACGTAGCAGTAGCCGGGAAAAGGAGAAACACCGAAGTGATTCAGTAACGTGATTCTTAACTTCACCTTCGCTTGCAGCTACGGGAGGCACGAGAAGTTCTGCATCTTCCCACGTCCCTTCCCCTCGAGTTCTGTAGGGCTCCGGCCGCCCGCCCCTCCCCACCCGCACTGTAACTCCCCACAAACTGATGTTCACGTTAAAGAGACCAAACCAGACTTAGTCGTTCAGTTGTTCTTCTCTGAAGGTTATTATCTGCTGAAAATACCCGTATGTAAAAATACAGACAGCAAGACAGGCGCACGTCGGCTCCGGTAACGAACGGCCAAATCTGTTTCACATCCATCTGTCTCCTGGCACGGCGTCCCCCCACGCTGCGCTAAACCAGCTGTGTTTTTACTGACCTCTTGGATTGTTCTGGTAAACTACTTGTTGTAATGATTACATCTCGCAGCCGCCTTCTATTAACTTTTGTAAAGTAACACCTTTCAGAGACACCAAGGGCTTTGTCCTTCCTTGGAAAGAAAGTTGGCAATAAATTCTCTACTTGGAACACTGGAAAAAAAGGGGTTTTCTCCGAATTTAAGGATATTCTCTGTCAGTAACCGGCTGTTGAGGATGGGGTAGAAGTGACAGTTCTGTGACTCACTCTACTGTGTATTGAGGGAGAGAAAGAGAGATGTAATTGCCTGCAGTTACAGACAATTGTTATAATTAAAGAAAAAAAAAAAAAAAAAAAAAAAAAAGACTCTCTTTTTCTTCTGGAACAGTCACTCAGGCCACTTGTCAGCCCCAGCGTGGCTGCAGGTCCCCACCCCCTCTGCCAGGGCAAAGCTGCTGCAGCTGGAGCTCAGGGGCAGCCAAGTGGCAAACCAGACCCGAAGGTCTAATTAGAGCCTTTGTAACTAAACGAGGGTGATCCCGACAGAGCCAGCCCTAAAACTCCCCGCTGCCACCACCCCGCGAGGCCTGGGGGCGAGGAACAGGCACGTGGCACAACGCTCACCACAACGCTCACCGCGCCGAGGCCGCAGCCGCCCGTGAGCCAAAGCCTCCAGCACCCAAAATCCGCCCGCTCGGGGAGGCACGGGGGCAGGGGGGGAGCACAGATTCGGTCCGCCGAGGCTGGGCTGCCCTGCTGCTCCTCTGGACGGGGGCTTTAAATCGGCGTTTGGGTTTTTTCTTTCCATCGCTTCAATAATTGTGAAGCTGTGGGAATTCATGCTGCCAGCTTGTGCGCGCGTTACCTTCTTGTCCCCACCGAGAGGCAGAAATTGCCAAGTCCCAGTGCCGCCCCGGAACCTTCACTGCCCTTTGAGAATCTTCACCTACAGCTGAGTCAAAAAGGCACCGAGTGGCTTGGCCCCTGAGCTTTACCATTTGATGTTCAACCCCGTGCTTGTTTTCTCCACCGCGTGGTACTCCGTGTGCAGAGCTCTGGCAGCCTTCCCCGAGCCCACGCCTCCCAGCCACTGCTCGTACAGTTCCTTCACAGCCCGGTTCTCCTCGGGAACTGCTGCCCTAAGAGACTCGTACAACCTCTCGACTTGTTGAAGCTGGTCCTTGCTGGATTCGCCATCTGGTTTGAGCTGACCACCGCCATTTAAACAGCCTGCGCGCAACGAAGTGAGAAAACGGCACTGGGCTCAGAAGGCACTTCAGTTTTATCAGGGGGAAAAAAAAAAAACCCAACCAACCAACCAAACACCCCCCCCCCCCCCCCCAAAAACCAGCTCCCGTTAATTTAATCTGCACCTGTGGTTGCAGAAATGAAAACGTGATTGTAACTGGGGTTTACTCCTCTAGTAAGAGGGGGTAAGAAGCAGCAGGGAGCTCTGGCTCTCGCCGCGTGTCTCCAGAAAAGGGCCAGAACAGAAGCCAGGTGGGAAGAGCCTCAGAGACCCCCCCCTGGTTAAACACCCCTGGGACGCACTCGGGGGCTGGCGGGGGGGGGGGGCGCACTACGAGGGGGCCGTGCAGCCAAAGAGCTCAGAAAACCAGGAGAACCTCCTTAAAATCCCTGGTTATGCAAATTTTGTGCAATGGAATTTAACTGTAATTACTTAAATCCTGAAGAATTACCAGCATCTCGGTAGGGAAATACACACGCAAACAACTCGGAAATTCCGACGCTGTGACTATCGCATCTCGCGCATGTGAAGGCTTTGCCACAATATCCAGCATGTGAGAAACTGCCTCTTGTTCTTGGATTTTAGGTACGGTTTCGAAGAGCTTCTTACAGCTACGGGCTGTAAGTGAAATCCCCGCGCGGTCTTACCTGACGGGCAGGCCATGACTTCCACGTAGTGATAGGGCGATTTCCCTCGCTTCAGCTTTTGCACTAAGTTCTGTATGTTCCGAAACCCGTATGCCAAAGCAAAGTGGAGCAGGACTGCTCCATCCTTCTCCAGTGTCACCTCCTGGAAGTCCTTGTTTCTGAGGAACAAGAGCAGAGAAAATGGCTTATCCAAATTAACTTCTATTTTAAACTTCAAAGAGCCCTGTGCTAAAACAAAGTTCTTTGGGAAATCTTATTCGAGAAAGCTGTCCTAGTTCTTTGCCACCCAAACAAAACAGAGGAAGGAACCAGCTTACAGCTCCTTTCCCAGTCTCGTTTGAGGACCCGCCACCTGAACTGAGTTTGCTGAAGAACACCTGTGTGAAATAAAGCCTTAAAAGCTCAGCAAACAGAGCCTGAACAAAAGTTTCATTGTGAGAGGCCTTCTGAGCTGGCTTCAGCCAACTCCTACGTTAGTGAGGCCGCTGAGGAAACCTTGAAATTGCAGTGGGTCATAAAACCGGGGAGCAAACCATTCCTGAAGGCTTCCAGACTCCTAAGGCTAGTGGAAATACCTGTTCCTGATAAAAGAGTAAGTAATTTGATTTTTATCAAGTATTTCATATTGCGACTCTGGGGGACTGTTCCTTCTGCTTGCTAGACCAGAGAATCCTAAAAGTAAATATTGCTAATTGGGGATGTAATTAATTATAAGTGGTACGTTAGTATCGCAGGGAAGCTCTGCAGGAATCTCAGCCGAATGAGCCCCCGTGCCCGAATTCCAGTGACTTTTTCCCTCTCACCACAATACAGCTAAAACAGAACCCCAAAGCCCTGATGGAAGAAGATTTTCTGTTCTCCAACTGCTAGGCTAGTAACCAACCTACTTCCCTGGTGCGATTACAGGTGAGGAAGCCCAGATCTGTGTGAGCTCTGTCTTCTAAACGATTGTAAAAACTGCCTGCAACTTGATACTGGGAAAATCCATCAGGCCGAAATAAAGCGTGTGGGTGGTGAAGGGGCTACAAGTCTCCCAGGGAAAGGCTGCACAGAGCGCTGGCTGATTTATTGCTCAGCAACTGTGGGAGTGAGAAGCCAATTCCCATGCCTTGAAGTAAAATGTTTAACACTGCAAAGAAAGTTTCGGCCCCTCAGCGAGACAACAGCATGAGCAGATCTGCAATGAGAACGGTGCTTTCTGCGGGACTTTAAAATTCTTACTTTAAAGGTTTGTACTGAACTGTGTCCACTTGAATTCCAAAGAGCTCCTTGGCTGCGTGTTTGTATACGTGCTCCAAATAGCCGCCGGAACCACCTCCTGCGTGGCTGGTGAGCGCCTCTCCCGCCGCCCCGCCGAGCCTGCGGGAAGACAGCGGCAGTTTTAGGGGAATCTTTGATAAAACAGAACAGCCGGCGCAAATGCAAAGCTCCGGGGGGACTCGAGCAATAGAGCAGACCCCAGAGCAGCTCCCTTGGAGCTCCTCCATTCTCCCTTTTTCCTGGGAACCGCCTATTTATCGCTTCAGAGCCCAGCAGGGCTAACCCTGTGCTGCCAAGCTCAGTGGAAACACTCTCACAGGCCGCAAGGCCCGACCCCTGCACTGCCAACTCAAATCTTCACGTATCAAAAATTCCTTCGGGAGCGTTTGAGTTAAAAGGACAATAACCTGAGGTTTATTTTATTAGCTTCCCGTTTGATACCCCTACAGCCCTCCTGGGTTACACTTGGGAGGAGGGCAGCGACGAAGCGATGGCGGTACGGGTCTGGGCAACCTGTGCTCTCGGAGAACGCAGGCGAGCAGGAGTCCTGCAAGGGCCGCCTCAGCAGTGCTAAAGCTTTTCTGCGCCACTAACAAAAGCAGAGGTCCTGCTTGAAAGCTCCAATTCTGTGCTACGGCACGGTTTTTGAAAGCAGCTACTTCCGACGCGGCTGCTGGGGCGCGAGGGAGAGATTCTGGGAGGTACCAGTGGTATCTATGCTCGCAAGCCCGGAGAGCTGGGGTCGGTGCGGCCGGGGTTTCACGTGCCTCACGTTCTTGTAGCAAAGGTGAGCAAAGCCAACGGTGCCATGGAGCTGGCTCCGTGCACGGCCGTCCTCAGTGGGATCCCGGTTCCAGTTCAACACGTTTTTGGGGTTGAACAGCTACGTTAACATCAGTTCTGCAAACTAATTCCATCTCCCTGACACGCCAAAAGGCAAGCGACTATTCAGAGGTCAAGATAATGTTTCTTGAGAACAGCTCACCAGATGGAAGCCACAACAATAGCTTTTGTTATGAGAGAATAACAAGATGAGGGATCTGCTCATAAGCACTCATCAGGCAGCGACACTTGCGTTCTCCTACAACAGCTGCAGAAGGGAAAACACTTGAATTCAGGCCAGTTTCAAGGCAAATGGAAGACGTTGCCTCTTGCAGATAAAATCTTCGCTTTGGAAGAACTGCAGAAGGCAACACTTTAGCCTGCAATCACCCTCAGAAACTATTTTTAATTTGATCTTGTTTACAGGAACTGAGCTTCATTAACAAAATGTTTCAGTGTGTCTGGCCTCACGTACTGCTACTCTCTTCAGACCAGGCTGCCAGTAAGCTCCAGCGCCGGCCTGGAGCGAACGGTTACACCAGCACAAGTCCCGGGATTTCTGGCACTTTATCTCATTCTTGCTGCCAAATGTAATAACCTCTTAATGGGCTTTTCCACGTGCTGGAGGACAAAGCAGCAGAACAGCCACTGGACTGCTTATGTGAACGCTCCAAGCCGTGAGGAATACGTGCTGTTTGTAACCAGTCAATTTACCGAGTACGTTAAAGCTAGCAAAAGGTTATAGCGGCACTTTATCACCCCAAGCATGAGGCCTGGTGCTCAGAATGTACTCCCAAGAAGCCGGCCAGAGATTTTTATCAAGTAATTAGATATTCAGTTCTGTGTTATAACTGACACTTCCATAATGTCATTTGCTAAGGGAGCCCAAACACTTCAGAATCTTTTTTTTTTTTTTTTTTTTTCTCCTCAATTTTCTGCTAGCGGTGTAACAATACAGCAGGTAGAACAGAAGTACTTGTCTACACGGGCAACTTCTGAAGTTGTACTTTTAGGACTCAGCCATGCAGGTGTTTTTATAGCTGAGGGTACTTTTCTTTTATGATGTGAAAGCAATCTGTGCATATGCTATGTCAGAAAAAGGCACTTAATCCCAGAGAAATTACGCGTAAATAGATGTGTGCTGGCACATGTGTTATGTGAAACCTACACCTACCGATCCGCTGAAATGGAGCAGGAAACCCAGGCCTGGGCATGCAAGTTATTTTAAATCTCTTTTTAAAATTAAGTATCCCTTACGTGAAAGGGATTCAATGGCAGCACACCATCCCTACCTCACATTCTCCTTCTTTTCAGAAGCACAGGAGGGACCAATGTTTGTAACAATTAAAACTAATCTAGGAAGCAGGCTGCGTGTAAGGACACTTCCCTGCACAGCTCTGTCGACGCACACGTGCTGATGAGACAGCTCTTGAGCAAAGGCTGCCAATGGCCCTGGGTTGTACTGGAAGGACTTGAAGCGTATTTAGAAATCAACCAAATTTTAAAAAAGTTTCACATCTGCAAGCTGAGAACAGACTAGTGTCACACTGTAATCAGGCACTAGATGCTGCTTATTTGGTGAATCAAAACCTCTCCAAAAAACCTCAAGAGCCTGAGCAGTAAATGTTTGAATTGTATTATCATCTTTTATAATTTTTAAAGGGTGCTGCATATGTAGCCTTTCTGTTTATTAACGTGCAAAGTGCTACAGAGATGTTTCTTTTAAAACTGAAGAAGAGAATGCTTTGGTTTAGCATTCAGTGTGGAACCACCACTGCACGTCAATTTAGACGAGTAAAATGTGATTTAATGTTTCCGTAGTCACTCAGATCTCTGTGCCGTTGTCACTTAAGCAGCTGAAGTCGTTACTTTTCAGTTGAAGCAACTAAAGTCTCATCTGGTTTGCACATGTTTTAGATCTCATTTTTTTTACAAATAAAGACTCCCAGAGATTAGCTGAGTGACCTAAATATTTCTTATTTAGGCTTTAATTCTGGAATCCTTACAGTAGCTCCGATAACTAGGAACAGAGACAAGCGAACTGAGCAAACTGAGTGCAGCAACAGGCTCTGTCTTAGCAAACTCCCATCGTTGATTTGGATTCTTTCACTTTTCCAAGTTTGCAGGTAGATTTTTGTGGGATTCCACCAGCTACAGTGTGAGTAACGGTATCTGAAGTAAATGACTGTCACGCAATTTGTACTTCTCTGCGCAATTATGTTGCCATTATACTCTTACTGAGCTAATTCGAGCAATCCTGCTGATTTACAGTGAGAGCTGCTAATCCTCAGACTACTACTAACAAATAATTTCCAAAATTGGAAATTCATCATATCCTCTAGATTAAGTATTTTCATGCACAACTGTACTGATTCAAGTGACACAAGAAAGCAAATCAAATGCAAACACACGCAGCCTTGTGTAGAACAGCAGTGGAAAGGCAAATTCCGTTGAAGAACTCTGTAACTACTGGATGAAAAAACCCTGTAACTGAAGATGCAGATGGGATTTTATTCTTACATGGTATCCAATGGAGCAGGATCTACATCTGACAGAGACACTCCTTCTTGTTCCAACAACTTTAGCACTTCTCCTAAAACAGAATCACAGACATTAGAAGTTCTTATTTTGGGGATAAAGGAAAGCAAAATCCACAGACCAGTACATAAGACTGCATCTGCAATTTTTACCAGGACGTGCTTTGCATTATTCAAGTGTAATTATTCAGCAATATCCGTACAGTACATATCCTATTGGAGGCAAGGGGCTATTAAAACTAACAAACACTTTCCTCTGAAGCTTCCAGAAATTAGCTGGGCTACCTCCAGGTCTGCTTACCTGTGGTGATTACACAGTCCACATCACGAGTTTGGTACTCCTGGTTGAAAAAGTCTGGCCTTGAGGCCTCCAGCTTTTTGTCATAACAGGGCATCACTGTTACGTGGTATATCTGGTCAGGTGTTAAGTGCTGGAAGAAAGACAAAGCCGCGCAGTTGGACTGGCCAGTATCAGCCCTGCTTTGAGGGAGGTGTTCTCCAGGTGCAAAGGAGAGTGATGAAACTAATGTCACCGCGCCTCTGGAAATACTCCTGACTATTACTGAATGTTTACTTTGCTAATACACACATACACATTTATAGATACATGAAATTTTAATTTCTCTCACAGAACCCCATTTTAGTTTGTAACAAGTGTCTGCAGTATGGCCTTTTACAGGTTTCCCCCACCTCCATTTGCTAGTGCAGATGATCCAGACAAAGTCAGTCAGCGAAGTGAATTCCTAATTATGCAGTTACAGAATGTGCTTTCTCTGTTTTCTTCTTTTTTTTACTGAAGCCCAGCCCCTGCATCAGTAACTCAGAAATGATCTGGAGTCAGACAAAAACCTCATGACCATCCAAGAAATAAGCACAGACCGAGGAAACAAGTCATTGACTCAAGGCCATTGTTTCAGTATCTTGTGCCAAGCCTTCTTAGTAGCTGCCAATTTTTGGAACAAGTATGCAGATGTCAGCATTTACTTAATGCAAGTGTTAAACCACCGCTCATTAACGGACAATAAATCATACAATCAGAAGTGCTGCTTAAGTTTCTGACTGGACAAATCTAGGCTATTAGTATAATGCTAGTCTTTAAATATCAGATTTACCTTTGGAAAGATTCCAAAGGTTAAAGACTGAGAACAGAACTAAGTCAAACTGAAACAGAACATTAAGTTGGGAACGAGCAAGTAATTTTTAGACAAGACATGAGCTGCACGTATGCACTGACTGAAGTTCTGTCTTAGGATAATTTATTTGAAGTTATTCACCAACTTTAAGCAACATGAAAATATCACACACAGACAAGACGGGAGCACAAAGACACTGAAAAATAAGTTTCTCCAGCCTTCCCAAATAACATGCAGAGGTTTTAAGTAGTTCATGCAGCATGTGCTCAATGTTTACTGCCCTAGTTGCTAACTTCTCATTAGATGAAATAGAAGCGAGAAAGATGCTGCCTTTGCTGGCTTCTGCAAGATAATTTTTACCTTTAAATTCTAATGTATAACACGTAGCAAAATAAAAAAGCATCAGTTGGGAGCGTTCAACTTTAGCAGCTTGCCATTAAGCACAGTATACGTCAGACCCTCACCTGCTGTTCTGCAAAATAGCCCTTGACCAAGGAGCCCATGACCTGCTGTGGAGACTTGGTGGTACTGATGTAAGGAATGATGAAACTGCCATGGGTTTTCTCTGCATAGCAGATCCAACCTGTAAGAGTGTAATTACCAAATTACATTAACAAAGAACAAGCAGCCCTTCACTCTGCCTACCCTCCCCCCACCTCAGGCTTAGTACCTGTTAATAACCATTTTCAGCCTCACTTCTGTGCAAAAACCAAAGGAGGTGTAACACAAGGTTAATTTTAGAGATCATTAGGTGACTGTATAGATTACTACTGCTATTATCACCAAGGTCTCTTTGTATTGTGAAGACAGTAATCCTCTAAGTAAATTTATCCATTTAAACTTTCCTGATTAGCTTTCTGATTTTTTTTTTTTTTGTTCTAGTGTACTATTTGCATGGCATTTTATTATTTCTGTAACTAATTTAATACCATACCCGGACAGGCAGAAGCTAGCATTGGCAAAGCCCGTTTGTCTTCAGATTGCTTTCGAAAGCGTTTCACAAACTCTTGTTGGCTCTCCAATAGGCTGAAGTTTCTTGAGAAGGTTGTATCAAAAACGTAGTGCACACCTAGGCAGTACAGCATCTGTGTTAAAATTCAGAAGAAAGATACGGCAAACTACAACAAAAAGCCTCCAGTCAAACTGGATTCAAACTGCACGTCCTATTTACAGGTATCGACTTCTGCAGCTGAGGGTGAACCTTTTTCCCTAGAACGCCAGCACGGTAAGACAAGCAAAAGTGGCAGGGGGACTGCAAATCTAAACTTTGAAGTTCTTTCCTTCCATCCCTCCAAGTTTATGATGTGACTGAAGCTGCAGACAGTTTGCGTTTTAACTAATGCCAATTAGGAAACATTACGAGTCCACGGGGAGGTTAAATCACATCAGCCTTGTGCGCTCATAACAGTTACACTTCACACGTGCCCCAGGAGCCCCCGCTGAGACTAACAGAACGCAATACCACACTTGCCTAAACTCTTTAAGAACGCAGTCAACTTCTTCGCTGTTTCCAGAACATCCATTTTACATCTTGCAGCTAGTGAAGCTCTGGACTGTGGTGAAACAGAAACCACCACCAATTTCCGTTCACTGGGAGTGGCAGTCTTTGAAAAAAAAACAAAAAAAAAACAAACAAACAAACAACAGCACCGTTCACACAATATTAACATGGCACATGCAGAACCTTCAGCACACCAGAACATCAGAAAGCATCTCTCAGCTTAACTCGGAAGTCTGTAACTTACTACACTAAGGGTCCTTTCCAAACCCATGATTACTTTTTAAAAATCAGAAAACCCGCAACAGGGCACTGAGAATGTCCTCAGATCCTTCAGACTTCTGAAATTAATTTTTATGTGTGTTGTTTCTACGCGTGCTTCTGCAAATGCATCGTACCAACCTATTAAGACTTCCAAACTCTGCAGCCCACCTAGCCATGACTTGTCACCTACCTTGTTAAAAGTCAGCATTTTGCAGAGCTCTTCGTGGCTCTGTTGGGTGATCAAAACACTCTCTGCTGATGTAATGCAGCCACTACAAGCTAAACAGTCGTTCAGAGTAATTTTAGCCTTTTCCAGTTTTTGTGCTCCTCCATCCTATGAAGAAACAGATTAGTCTCAGTTCTGATCACAGTGTAGAATTATGCAGCAATTTTTCCACCTTTACTATATTTAGTAACAAAGGTGTTGCCCTTTTTATGCTCTTGGTTTATCATTAAAAAAAGGTATCTTTTAGTAAGATGAGAAAGACAAGTATCTTTGAAGTTTGCTGCTTTTAATAGGATTATCTGGCACACCAATGCAAATATGCTGAGGAACTTCAAGAAAATTTTAGCAAGACCAAGAACATAACTTTCATCAAATACAGAACAGTTGCTTAGGCCCCAATTCTTTGTGCTATCCGGTGGGCTAACATTGCTCCAAAACACTGAGATTACACTGCTCCAGAAGCAAACAGGGTCCATCCTGCTGAGTTTTCCAACTTGTGGGTGGCTGAAGACGGGGTTAGCATGGCTAATGCTACAGATTGCAGCTGCTATTTTAATCACAAAACTGTAGACCACGGGGATCGCAAGCCTTTAAGCTCCGATCTCCGGTGTGCAGTGAATGTTACCCCGGGGAAGGCACGCCAGCCTTGTCACCTCTATCAGATGTTGCTTGTGTTATTGAACAATACTGGAGCTGGTTCTTCACGGGAACTTGAATTTCATTCCTCCTAAATAGATTGTGTAATCAGCCTACAAGCTCGCTAACAAGTGATACTGAGCGTTCTGCAATCTTTCTGTGTGCAAAACTTAAATGGACACCGATGGGAAAACTGTATGACAGCGTATCACAGACAGTGTGTGGCTTGCCACTGGAAGAAAATGTTTTTCATATTTGACCTGAATAAGTCAGTTTTCCCAAGAGATTCTCCTCTTAAACATCACTTCTTAATAAAGTTGGAGACAGACCAAGCAATTAGACACTATGAAATTAAAATTTTAAAATAAGAAACCAGACTCCTTTGGAAGTGCTGTATCCTGCTTTTTTAAGTCCAAAGGTCATCATCTGCCTAAAGTTAAAAGTACCATTTCTGAATGAATCTCCAGTTTGGTTAACTAAGAAATGCTAGCCTTTTCTGTGTAAATAGGAAAATTGTTCTGCAAAACTCAGCATTAATTTTGGAACCAGGAGGCTTATGAATTCTGCAGGCTGTTTAACATATAACTTGAAATATTATTAGAAAAAACAGAGTAAAATTTAAGAATATCTAACTGAATCTCCAAGTGATCACTCTGCTGTATGACATAATGCAGTAAGAAAAGACATTGTGGCAAATAGTCAAGGAATTGCTAAAACTTAAGTATTGATGGCAAAATAGACTTAGTTTATCTGCTCTTATACTGAAAATCTTCACTGATTCATGTCAGTGTTTCAGAGCATAAAAGACTGACACAAAACCAGAGTTACTGCTTATAAAATCAGGTAATTAAAAAGCGGAACTTTGGAAAAAAGGTAAGAGAATGCTGACAGCAATTGCAACACATTTCTAACATCTTGGTACTCTCTGAGGCATTAAATAGCTGTAGACTATTCAAATGCTTAACAATACACTCACGTTTTCTGGATATTTTGCACATTAATGAAGAAAAAAATCACTCATACCTGATTGATCTGAAAATAGCTTCCATCAGCTTCAATTCTGATCTTAGCTGCTGCTTTTCCAGGCTTTTTTTCCACCTTTACAGGTTTGATACATTCCTGAAAGAGAAATAAATCCCGAAAGGGAGGAGATGAGCAACAAAGAGGTCGATTTAATAGAACCCTGAATGATCAAACCCAAGCACTAGTTCTAGAGTGAATGCTGCTTACTCTCCCCTAAATTAAGCTGGATTTACTTACAGAATCTATAACCACCAAGGGAAAATGTAAAAGCAAAAGCTTCTTACCCCTTTTTTACAGAAGGAACACTTTTCCAGCATCATACCAAAACCAGAGGACAATTTTGCTATTCTTCCTGAAGAATGCAGCTGTGTTTTACGGAGCCTTGAAAGGAACAGAGGCTTGCCTGCGCAGCCCTCCTCTCTAAAATCTTGCAGATGATCGTGCATTCTTCATTGCAAATTTTAACCGATGGAGGCGTGGTCACCACAGTCAACATGTGGCTAGTGCCAATGAAGTTTCATTTAATGTCAAAAGGACTCTGAGGACCTCAGATGGACTGCTTCCAGTTTTCTGTATTGTTCTGTGATTAAGTCTCAAGGGTGTGTTTGCATTTTGTACGATTTTTATTCTTTAGGCACCTTATGACTCCTTGTCCTACTTCTACAGCTAGGATTTTCTTTGCTTTTTCCCATCCTTGCTCTGGCAACGTCTTCAGGTTTCCCCCCCTCAAATAATCCAGCTTTACTACGTTTCGTAGAATTCAGAGATCAGCAGGGACGTGTCATTATGATTTTTCAGTTATGCTCACCGAATTAAAAAAACAATGATCTCTACTTGAAACAGAAAAGCGGGTCGCGTTATTTATGTGAAAGACTTCACTAGGAAACCCAAGTACTGCAAGGAGAGTTAATGGGGTTTGCTATGCCCCGTTCCACTGATCTCATTTCAGGATAGTTTTTTCCACTTTCCTTGTCAGTAAATGTGTTCAGGATTACTATTTTGTACTTTTGCTAGTGCTTGAAGGCTACAAAAACAATAGCCTTGACCCGTCCTTGCTGTTCATTCCCAGCTCTCTGCCACCCGCTCCCATGAGCATTTGTGCTGATGAGTGGTGCACTAGGAAACTTGGTTAGGCTTAAGGTTTGTTTTTTTTTTTGGGGGGGGAGGGGGTGGGGGGTGTTTAGATGAACATTTATAGGGGAGTTTCCAGATCGGGGTGGAAATGACCAACTGGCTGCTGGGCCAAGATTTCCCTCCTTAGCTCCTTCCAGAGCCTTGCACGGATCGGCGTCGCTGTCCTCTCTACTCCCTGCGCGGGGGCGGGGAGAGACAGCGAGGTGTCTCCGTGGTTTTTCCCTTTTTAACCGTTTTATTTAACAGCACCCGGAGGAGGTGTGAAGGCGCCGGCCTGGGCCCCCTCTGCCCCCGTGTCCGCTGTGCCGCCTCCCTCACGCTGCCAGGCCTCACCCACCCCCCCTCAGCGCCATCTTCTCCCCCTCCGGGGACGGGAAGGGGGCAGGCCCGGGCCGCCGCTTGTCCCCCCTCGCCGCCCCCAGCCCCGGCAGCCCCCGGCCCGCACCCACCTGCGAGGGCCCGATGTAATCGTCCAGATCCGTCAGCTGCAGCACCCCGCTGAAGGGAGACGCCATCGCGGCCGCGCCGCCGCCCAGCGCGGCGGCCAGCGGCTACGACACTGTCGCAAAAAGGGGGACGCCACACTGCCGGAAATGAATGGGGGGAGGTTTCCCGCCACTGCGTGTGGCAGCGCTGGGTGGGGTGGGGCGGGAGGGCCGCGATGGCGGGCGGGGTGCTGGTTTATAGGCTGAGGTAAGATGTAAGCCCTATCCACAGCGAGGTCTCATGGCCCTTGTCTTTATAAATAGTGTGAGTGCCGTGCTGATTTTCCTCACGTTCTTGCAGAGATGAGGTCCTTAAACCCCTCGAGCTTGTGTGTGTGGGGGTGGCTTGGACACCTGTCACCCTTCTTAGGACTGCTTTCCCACCAAGGCCTCAGCTGGTGAGGTTCCTGCTCCTGCGGCATGGAGATTTGAAGCTGTAAATCCTCCGTGAACGGCTTGCTGGGTTCATGCAAATACATGATATTTTGTCTGTGAGAGGTTTAGCTCTCGGTGTGAGAAATAATTAGTTCTTTGAAGGAAATAGTTTTATTTACATGAGAAGTAGTGAAGAAAGTGGTGTGACAATTTTTCAGGGTAAGTCTCTAGTGCTGCCTGGTTGAGAACTTGGCATCTTGGTTGCACACTGTTTGGAGATTTCCCTGTGTCAGTGGTGTTTCAAGGAAAGCCTTGCAAATTTTGGCTCTTACAAAATGCAACAACAACAAAAAAATTATCTTTGCACTGTTTGTAGAAGTACCCTGAGGTACCTAGATGGGAAGTGCTAAGTTCAGTGTGCGGTTAATAAGCGGAGCTGCATGTCCTTTCCAGGCTGTAGGCAGAACGCAAGGAGGAACTGGTAGTGCACAGGGCCTGATACTGAAAGCATTGCTGGGGTTTGTCCTTGCAGCTTCAGAAGTTCTGATTAAGGTGTGAAGATAACACACACTTTGCCAAACTCTGACACACTATACCAGACTCTGCAGATTTCTATGACTTTAACATCCTGCAGTTGCACCTCTAGATTATTGTTGAGCTATGAGCTCTGAAGAAAATAAATGCCATTGTTGATTTAAATGTGTAGCTTTCTCCGTGCTAGAGTACCTTATTGTTTGGGGGTAGGATATAATCTACAGAACAGTGTTTAGTAGCCAGAGGGGGAGAAGACAGTAAAAAATCCAAAACGTGTGGGTTTTCATATATGTTGTTGCTCTTCCAGTTACAGGAGGTGCTGAAATAAATATTAAGGCACCTAATCAATTCTGAATCCACAGAGACAGTGATCTGTTCAAGGTTCTGGAATAACTGTTCCACCTCCTGATAGCTTTCCCATAAGCTCATTTGGAAATGTTTTACTGGTGGAGTAGACTCCCAAGGGAGGGAGTGAAAGCGTCGCCCAGTGTGACTTTCCACTTGACCCTGTCAGCGGTATTCTGTGCAGTGATACTGAGTTTACTGCAGAGAGTAGGCCAGATCCCACTGCAAAACCAGGCACATCCTTCCTTTCCTGTGATAAGCTATTACTTTCTATACAGTAGAAGAGAATCTGCCATCAGGCAGACAAGGAACAACCTTTTTCTATATTTTTGCTATGCAGATTTGTTTGCATGCTAAACAAATATAAGGGTGTCAATACCAGGGAGGACTTGAAGGTATCTCCTAAGTTCTCTTTCACTCACCTGTAGATGGCTGTTGTGAATATCCTGCTTCAAGGTGAAAATCAAAATTAGGTCCCAGCAAATCTTTCAGGCTCTGAGTACTTGGTTCCTACACAGGAAGAATAGTAATACAAGAATTAGGTACGTTCATACAAAATTACGTGGAGTTGTTCATTCAGAGGTTACATAATAGAGACTTCAAAGCTGTAGAGCAGCGCTTGGATCATGTTGGCTGTTCCCAGGCAAAGTTCAGGGATTATCCTTGAAAACCTGTAGTTAGTTAACCCTTGTTGAATTGAGATCTGTCAAGGAGTATTCTTTTGGATCTTCAGCTTCCACTGTCTCCAGTTGTGAATTTTGATAATGTGTGTCTAATCTAAGTGTTAGAATGGGAAGTTTTCTTTATCAATACAACTCCCTTTAAAAATCTCTGTGTGTCTGCCAGGTATAAAGCACTGGGGTATGCTTTGATTATCCCTGTAGTGAGTCAGTGAACTGGTTCATCTTTTGGGATTACAGACTTTTTAGTTTAGTTCAACCAGTAGCAACTAGTATATTTCTACCACTACCTACTTTATCAGTTTAGTTTAAGTACCATCAATAAGATTGTCTGAAACACTATGAAACGTACCAAGTGGGTTGTTCAACATTACTTTTATTGATGATGGGATAGGTAGTGTCACACAAATTCTTTAAACAAAATCAGCATTTTAATAAATACTAGCACTGGCTTACAGAGTATATGAAGTTAAAACATTATCTAGGGCGTGTTTTGCAGCTGTGCAGGATTTTTTTTTAGAACATCATATGAAGAGAAAAATCTTTGTTATTCACATGAAAGCAGAATTGTTGGATTTTCAAGTTGTACTTGAATTATTTCATTAATGCAATTTTCATCTTTCCTGTAAAATCAATATTACAATAACATTTAGAGACATACATCCCAATCAAATATTAATCTCACAGGATTCAGTTCCTGTTGCCCTTTGTCACATCTTTTCTTAATGCATCGTTTACATTCTTGTAGTAACAGCTTGGTATGATTATGCAGGCAGCTTGAAAGATTAATTCACTGGGTCCTCAGGGTGTGCAACCCATTGTTACCTATTAGACTAAACTCAGAATGCAAGAATGTATCTGATATTTTAGTAGACCTGAGCAAATAACTTCTGGTATTTTTGAAGATAAAGTGTAATTTGAAGCGTCATTGTCTGGATGAATTAGGAAAGGCAGTACCCACATGAGAGATTTTACTGTGACCTTTAAGCCAGTTTGATTTTAAAGATGATTTAAAAGAAGTTCCCCTCACCGCTTGTAGCAGAATATATCTCTGTTTTAGACATATCCCAGGCTCTTAGCGTTGGTTCTGACAACCAGTCATAACAATATCTTTCGTCAGAGAGAGACAAGCAGCTGGAATGTGTATTTTGACCCCTGATGCTGCACATGAGTCATATCTAGTAATCTCTCCCATATAAACCCAAGCTGATCCCTGCTTTAAGAGATACAGCCACTGTGTCAGGGATCACCTTCATCTTGCCCTTACTGATTGCTGTAAATGCAAAGCCCAGGAGGCTATCTGTTTTGCTTGGAAGCTGGCGCTGATTTCACTGGTGTTCAGTGCATAGACTAGTAAAACTTACTCCCATGATGTCTGGGTAAAATTTTTGAAGTTCGCTCAGTTTAGCTACTGAACAGATCTGTCCCAGATTCTTTTGCAGCCAGACTTTGGTTCCTGTTGTTCCATCCTGGCACGCTGATCCTGTAACCAGAACAGATCCAAAGAGTTAAAAGCCACAGCATTTACTGAAGGAGGCATCTAGGCATCCTTCATGTGAATGACTAAATGTCTGCTAATAGACATCTTCCTGTTGAAAGTGCTGGGTCTGATCTTCTGCTCGCCGATTCATTTCCAGACTAAGGAAATAGTTACACCAAATGGAAATCCTATTTCTCTGCCTATATCCTTTTCATTCTATATTATCATACCTCATTACACTAGTATTCCATGTAGCTTCAAAAGGAGAAGTGATTTCCCTTCCTCTTTCATGGGGCTGTTGTGAGCTTCCCAGGGTTGTAATGAACAGCAGAAGTGACTGAATGTCAGTGTTGGGAAGAAGTGTGATTGTTAGGCATAAAAATCTTAGATGTTTGGAATACAAAAGATGCTCCATACAAACACTATTTTTTTTACTGGGAACTCATATGCAAGCACCTTACCCGAGCCTGTGAACTGGGCTGTCAAATAGGCCTTCTGAAACTCATACACATCGTGTTTCTTCCTTGCTGACAAAACTGGATAGACTCCATCAATTGCTGCAATGCTGGGGAACAAGTCACAGAACAGATGGTTTCCATGTGGATAAAGCAGCGGAAGTAAGTGTAGTGAGAACTTAATGCTGACAAACCAAAGGTGGTGTTTGCTAGTCGTTGGCCGTAGCATGCGGGTAATCAGTTTTATTTTCTGCTGGGCCATATAATTTATGGTGTGCTTGAGAATAAGGATTAATATTTGATATTTGTCTACAAGAAAATGCCACCTTTAGAGCAGAGTCACTGACTGAATTTGGTTATACCCAATGAAGGTAAAAAGCAGCTCTTGCCTGATCAACAACTAATGATGCAAGAGCGACTGTCCTTGTAGCAGCACAAAGCTGAGGCAGCTGCAGCCCTGCAGGCAGGCACTTACAAGGCTTGGTAGGCTGGGCACGGCATGCTGAGGGGCAGCAGCTCCAGCACCGTCGCGTTCACGTGGGGGAGCAGAATGCGCAGTCTGTGCAGCCATGTAGCCGTGTCTTCCAGGGACATGTCAGTAATTTGTGGGAAGATGATCTCGGCTGACATAATTAGCATTGTTTCTCGAACTTTGTTGCTTCCTAGGAAATCAGAGCTCTGAGGAAGGAGGAAGAAATTGAAGCAGGTGATGAGCAGAGCTGTTAGAAAGCCTTGAATCTTGAAGCTAAGTAGAAAAAGTGGTGAAGGAAAAATTGGCAAAATTACCACAGTTTCTTTTCTTTGCTGCTCTCCTCCCCTTCCTTCCTCTCCTGCTTAACAATGAAAGTTGGAAATACAACCTGACTGTGTCCTTGTTGGGGAGTTGACCTTGGCAATTCAGGTTTTCTTTTGTCAGCAGAGTTGGACAGCAAAGCAAGCCAGGTGCTTGCATTTCCTTTCCCTTACGCTCCCACAGCCACTGCTTTTGTTACGGCAGTCAGCAGAGTGGTCACACTGTGTATGAAGCGAGGCTGGCGCATGTTCCCGCTTCTGGGCTTGGCTTACTTGTACGAAGAGCCTCAGCCCAGCAGGACCAGGGCAAGTGGCAGAGTCTCTTGCTCACTCATGCACAAATGTTTTAATGGACGTTACCAATTTTAGGGGCCTGGTCCAGAACCTTTCATAAGTCATTAGACTAACACAGATCAGCAG